TATTTTTCAGAGATGAGATCTGGTTTAATTCAACGATGGGGGCTAGGAGAGCTGTTGGTATTTGGGTCATGTAAATTAAGAATCAAGAAATTACATTATTTGCATCAATAAAAAGAATGTGTTCCCAAATGATCTATTGTTAAGCTGTAAACATACAGGTACGAACCGGAATAAGCTGTAAAAAGAAAAGGTCTACCTATTGTATTATGTAAAGGTATCAAAAATATTAAACAAGAATCAATTGCAGTTGTCCATTATCCATTACTTGTGAACAACGTTTATGAGTTTACATGATACAAATTCAACAGAAGTTAGAGAGAAAAAAGGGCGTAGCGCTTTGAAAATATCAATAAATACAAAGCCAAAACATTACCTCTTAATATTAGGGGTAATAGAAGTCCTTGCGATTTGTATAGAGCCTTCTTTGATTTTAGGTAGAGCTCGATGTGATTATATAAGAACGAAGCCATAAAAGAACCAAATTTCAAGATTTTTAGTTAAGTGAGAAATCAATAATATAGGCATTTAGTAAGATTATATAATCAGTATGGGTGGATGATTGAGTAATATACACGGAATTGAAGTCAGGCAAATTCATAGTAGTTTTAATAATAGAATCTCCTTATTCAGGAAACACTTCTATTTATTTTGGATATTGATTATATGATGATGAATAAGCATTTGAAATATCACAAAGCATTGCTTAATTGCTATACTGAAATTTTCGTTTCTTCTTCTCCACGTTTAAAATCTTTTCTTTTTTTTAGTTTTGTTGATTTCTATTTTTGTTATTGTTTATGGCACATAATAATAATAAAAAAAACGAATGTTTTGCATCCAATCAAAAGTGGGCTTATATTTTAACATACAGTCGTTGCAGTTTTATTTCGCGCTAGTTTGAGCATAATTTTCAGATCAGTGAGTCAAAATTATTCGCACTATTTGCAAAGAAAAGTTCATATTAAGGCGGACAAATTTTTTGATACTAGTGCGCAAAAAATGTTCATATTACATGACCTCTATTTGTTCATACTGAAAATGTATGATATATGGTATGAACAAAAAAGGGCAGCTAGTTTGAAAGTATTATTTCCGCTGGTGTGAACATTTTGACTCCATTTACTATGAACAATTAATCTCCCTTACTATAAATTAAATTGTCGCACTAGTATTAATAATTTCTTTGAACTTGGTACGAACTGAAAGTAGAAACACTGTATATTACATGCATAGATTTAAATCAGCCAAGAATATAACTAACTTACAAGATTGAATTCAATAATAAATAAAGGAGAGAAGCAAAAACAAAAATATGGGGGGAATTTTAGTGATCCGTATTTCCAATCATTTACCAAAGACGAATGACCTTAGTATTTATCCATCAGCATATACCATATCTTTGGCAGTGTTGATTCAACAAAAGAACTATTTTTTTTTTCCACAATATCCGAAAATGGAATTAAACAGGGAGGCTGATGTTAACTTACGAGTGTTGAGAGCGATAACTTTGATTTGCACTGACATTAACTTTTTAGTTTTCACTGAACAAGTTAATTTCCATCATGTTTTTTAAAATCTCTTTGATATCTCATGAGTAAAAATAGAAATGTGAGAATCTAATTACCACTTGACTGTCAATTAGATGTGTGTTCAGATTACGCTATCATCAATGTTATTATAATAAGTGTCCCACTTGATTGAAGTGTCTAGTACTTTGTGGATCTAGCATCAACTGGCGGAGCTCCTCTTTTACTCCTTTTCCTGATAGATAATATAACGAACCAGAGATGTATCATCTTGTCTAGTAAATAGTGCTTTCAAAACCAAAAAGTAACAAAAGTCACGTGTGCAACTGTATTATGTAAGCAATTGTGTTAAATATGTGAATATCAGCCTCTTAGTATAATTTGGAAAATTATATGCTAAATCAAGATCATTTGATTAGCAATCACTTGGACACTAGTATCACATAATTATAATATCCATAGACAATGTCTACTAGAAGAGAAGTTCAGATTCAAGTGTATTTCAAATGTACTTTCGTTTTTTTTTTTTTTTTATTAGTGCCGCCCACCCACGAGTGTTTTGCACGCAACCATATCTGTTCGAGGTCGTGCCACATGATCAGCCGCTAGTTCCCTGTCATTAACAATACGTCTACTTTTTTTCTTTATTTCACTCATTTTCTTTCTCATTTTGCTCTTCTTTTTAAGTTTAACCTACAACCAACTATCTATTCATTTTAAACAATTGGGTTGCACCAGCCAACCTTAAATAAATTTTCAATAACTATTCTTAATATTTAAAATGCCAGACAATAATCTAGAGATTATAACTGACAGAGACGAATCAATCTCACCCACAGGGTTTTCCACAACTCCCGAAGATTCAACCAACACCAGTTTCAGTCAGACTAAACATGATCTGGGTAAAGAGCTACCCCATATCGATGAAGTTGATGAAGATGAAGAATTATCCCAACATGAGAATAATAATAATAATGAGGAAGTAGTGGTTTCTCCTGTTACTCCAAAACGTGATACTCCACATAAAAATTTGCTTTCCCATAGTTGGCACTATGCATCATATAATGTTCCTCATACCCCAAGCAAAAATGATAATTCATCAACACCAAGTACACCATTATTGCAATCCCATTCACAACCTGTTTCCAGAAGAGCAAGTATTGATGAGATGCGTCTACCGAGTCATCAAGAGCGACTGAATTTTAGTAATTTCAGAAAATCATTCTTGATCCCAGCAGCAAAATGGGCATACCTGCCGATCTCCAAAATTAGGCGTGCAACACAAACAGTTATACCTGATCCTAATGAAGAATACAATATTGAATATTCTGTTTTTAGATCAGTCAAAGGGTTGAAGCAATTATTGACTCATAAGGATATACTTGTTCATTTTAGAGATTTTGTAGAATCAGAAACCCATAGACCATTTCAGTTCCCAGAGAATCATGTTAGCGAATCTGATTTTAAAGAATTATTACAAAGAGTTACACGAATTATTGAAGAAGACAAGATATATCCCGAGAGAATTGCTGCAGGTTCGTCAGGAAGTTATTTTGTATTTGATATTGATACGTCATTACATAAAGCAGCAATATTCAAACCGAAAGATGAAGAACCATATGGACCATTGCTGCCTAAATGGACGAAATGGGCCCATAGAACGTTTTTCCCTTGTTGTTTTGGTAGAAGTTGTTTGATTCCTAATCTAGGTTACATAAGTGAGGTAGCTGCTTGCGTATTGGATAGACAATTGCAAACCTATATTGTTCCTCATACTGAAATTGTTGAATTGAGATCACCAACATTTTTTTATAATTATTGGGATAAAAATTCTGACGTTACTAAATTGCATAAGAAAAAAGGATCCTTTCAATTGTTTTTAAATGGTTATATTAATGCCGATATTTGGTTGAAAATATATCCCATTCCAACAGGTGATACTTATCAGTTGAAGAAATCTTCCAATTTAGAAGTTTCATTGGATAGTGAGAAGTATACTTTCACTTGGAGTCAAGAATCGATGTATCAATTTCAAGAGGAATTGGAAAAGTTGGTGATTTTGGATTATTTGATGAGAAATACTGATCGAGGATTGGATAATTGGATGATTAAAGTAGAATGGAGGCAAGTGCTGAAGAATTCCAAGACGAAGATTATGAAACCTACAATTAAAATAGGAGCTATTGATTCAGGGTTAGCTTTTCCTTGGAAGCATCCCGATGAATGGAGATCATTTCCATTTGGCTGGTTATTTTTACCATTGACAATTATTGGTCAGCCTTTTTCTAGAAAAACTCGGAACCATTTTTTACCATTATTGACTTCAAAATTATGGTGGGAGGAAACTATTCCAATGTTGAAACAAGTATTTATGCAAGATAATGATTTCCGTGAAAGAATGTGGTTAAAACAATTGGCAGTATTAAAGGGACAAGCATTTAATATTGTTGAAATTTTAAAATTAACCTATGCAGGTCCTTTGGAATTGACTAGAAGAGAGAATTTATTGGTCATTGATGATATAATGTACATGCCTAATGGTAAAGGTGATTACGATTTTATGAAATCTTCCATGTATGAGGGTGATATCTTTAAGAGATACAAGGTGAAAGGTGATGATGATCGTGGTGGTGATGCTGATACTGATGCTGATGAAGAAGAACGTGTTGGATTTGTAAATGATGGTACTCCGCTATTACATGGTGAGACTCATGAACCTTATGTTGAAACAGTGGATCGAGTTAATGAGTCTGGATATGAACGAATGAATAGAGAGTTTAATTTTCAAGATGCTTTTGACGATGATGGCGATGACGTAGAAGGTCAAAGTTCAACTAAAAAGGGGAAACGAGTAGTTATAGAAAGATTGATTAAAGAAACTAGTAAACCACCGGTATTCACCTGGTGTTAGTGTTTATTCTTATTAATATATTTATCTTCAAGTATGGTTTGATAATCATCGGAATTACCTCTAAAATCATCTTCATTTATAGTGATCAATTTTTTCTGCTCTTTTAATCTAAATTGAACCAATTTTAATAATGGATATAACACAGATAATATTGGAGTTGAGACTTTATTTTTTTCAGCAATTCTCATTGGATTACCCAAAATAATTTCAAGTTCCATCAATTGATCTTTATGAACATCTATAGCCATTGAAGGAGTGTAAAATAATCCATCACCTATATGAATATATTTATCAACAAAACTTTCATCACATTCAATTCCTTCTGATTTAGCAATTGCAATAACTTCATACATTGCCGGACGAATTAAACTTTCATTACCAATATTCATTTGAACTCTATTATTATCTAATTGTGTTAATGCACAAATTACATTAAATACACTATTATAAATCAATTTTTCCCATCTTCTTTTTTGTACATTTGTGTCTACTTGAATTGAATTTTTAAAAGGATCATCATTTTGATAAATTTTAATAAATTCTTCAATTTTTTCTTGTGAATGTGGTTGTCTATTATTTTCAGATTTAAAATCACCTAAATAAACAAAATCTTTACCAGGATTTTTAACATGTCCATTAATATAAGTAGAACCAATTAATGTAATTCCACTAAGAATAATATGGTTAGGATAAGCTTCAAACATTGGATTTTCAATACCTAATCCATTTTGTAATAAAATAATAACTTCATTACCTGTTTTAATTGCAGGTTTAATTATTTCTTCACATGTTATTTGTCCATCAGGAATATTTTTAGTTGTTAATAAAATATAATCAAATGGTCCAAATTCTTCTTGGGCATGTTGTACGGATTTTGCAAGATGATGTGGTTTCCAATTAGTTAATTTACCATATGTACATGAATCAATTGAATAACCTTGTTTATTAATTAATTCATAATCTGATCGAACAACTAATGTCACGTCTGATTTGTTATTTTCTGTTAATGCAAGTGCTGATATAGTTCCAACACCTCCAGATCCAACAACTAATACTTTAGGTTTTGACATTTGTTTGACTATCTTGGACAGGAAAAGGGTTATGAATTCAAAGTATAGTGAAACCAGAAAGCAGTGAATGACAAGAGAGAGAAAAGAAGAATGGTATTTATTTTATATTCCTATTGGTAGTTCTATTTTTTTTTTTTTCTTTTCTTTTCTTTTCGTTCATCTGGACGTGGGGAACTTATTACTTGATTAACAAATCGCCGTTTGCGGAAGCTAATCCCGAAATCTTTCCTAATTGAGATTGAAGCGAAAAATAAGAAAGAAAGAAGAAAAAAAAAAAGAGAGCGCTTATCGAATACTGTTTTTTTGGTCTGGCATACACTACCTCATCTATTATGACTATTAACTTAGATCTAATACTGACTCAACAAATTCACCATGACCATTATAATCATAATAATCTTTAGCCTGTATCACTTTCAATTCGAAATATTTCATTGTATCGCCATTATTCATTTGGCCTGTTATTGTTTTATGTCCAGCTCCTGGTGAATGCTCTTCATCTTTCAAAGCTTGTTGAATTCCTAATCTATGAGTCAATTTTAATGTCTTGGCCATAATTGTCAATACTTGATTGACAGATCTACTCAATCTTTCCAGTTCATCAACTATACTCTTATTCTTTTCCATTTTATCTAATAATAATGCAGAAAATAAATCACCAACACCTGTGAAATATGATTTTATAGTTGGAACACTGAACACTTGTATTGGATGAAACTTTGTTGATATCACACAATGAATATAATCATCTTCAAATATTTCACCAGAAACTGATGTTACAACAACATAGGGTATGTTAAATTCGTCATGTAGTGTCTTTATGGCTTGAACCAAACTATACTTGTTTGTAATTTTGATATTTGTCAATAATTCCAACTCAAATTGATTTGGGGTTATTATATCCACAATTTTACTTTTTAATATGGATTTGTATTCCTTGACACATGATTTATCAACATATAAATAGTTGTTATCTCCCATAACTGGATCCAATAAATAAATCATATTCAGATGTAACTTCTTAAATTCCTGTACATATCTATGAGTCATGTATATCAAAGCTGAGTTAGGAATATACCCAGTTATAATCGCTGAATATTTTATATTCAATCTTATTAACTGTGATAAGATTTCATCTAGTTCGTCTGTCAGCAAAGAAGTCCCAGTGAAAGAACCATAACCTGTATGATTAGAAAAATTCACGGTATTTATATTATCAACTTCCCAACCTTGAGTTTGTAAAGGGAAAATGGCAGCTCTACCTCCAACATATCCATGTGCAACATGTGATTGAATAGATAATACTGATTTCATATTCTAATAGGAAAGTGATGTGAGGATGGTTGAGTTGTTGAATAATTGAATAATGAATCATATTGTAAAATTTATATCAGGAACGAGAAATCCAAAGAGAAGAAAAAAAAAAAGAGTCAATAATTAGTCGTGTGTGAATGCCCAAACGATCTTTAAAAGTTTAACAGTGGTGGTGGGATACCACGGATTAAAAAATTGAAAAACTTTTAGAATGAATTATACCACACGAGGGAATGGAAAGCTGGACTTCTAACATCATATCTTATTTCTTTGATAGCCATGCCATTAAATAGACTTTAGAATGATTTGAGAAAGAAAAAAAAAAACATCTGTCAATATGAGACTTCATTTTTCATTTATTTTTTGTAAAATTTTCGATTGAAAAGGCTAAATATTTTTTTAGAGGACCCTCTTTTCCATGGAAAAGTTTGAATTTCAACAAACAACCATAGATTGAATGTAGTAGTTAGTCGATATTACATAACTTTGATTTATTGTAGACTCCTAACATCTGCAATAATTGTATGATTACTTGAACATTATTTAATTATCTCCAGCCCTCCCCTGAAAAGTAAGGGTCAACCACAATTGAATTCATGTGGGCCTGTGACAGGACAATTGGGACTTGTTGTACATCATTGGCTAGAATAAAGGTCGGTTTCAATTATATAATTAACCCTTAGTGCTACACTATGTTACAGGCAGCAACCCACATGTAATTTAGAGTTTGAAGTTAGAATGTATCGAAAATCCCTTATTAATCTCTAGTTGAAGGCAAAGTAATTTGCAACAAGTGTTTATGTTTCAGATCTACATGATTACATCTAGCTAATTGGAATAAGGGATATGCTTTTTTTCTCTTCAAAATTGTTTAACATTTTGGCAGGCGTGAAGATGAGAATGAGTATCAAGATATCGTTGATCATTTCTCGATATCTTTTCCGCCAATCCAAACGCGTTATTGAAATGAGTAAAAAATTTTTTCATTAAAGGATATGATGACGACCATGGTCCATGAAGAATGAAAATGTTAACGGCTTTGGTTTTTCTTTTTTTTTTTGTTCATTTCTGTGTTTCTTCATTACGGTAAAACTCTCATTGGTATCTAATCCACGTAATTCTCCAGCTCGGTTAAATTCAGTATGCCTTTGTGAGCTAATGACAAGAGTATTCTAAAAATACTTAAGGGAACAAAATAGAAGGGGTAAAAGAAGAAGAAGAAGAAGAGTAACATTCCATTCCGTTGAAGGAAAGGGTTCAGCATTGTAGAGCAAAAAAAAGCAATTTTACTTAAAATGAAAATTTCAGGTGTCGGCAATGGAAGCACCACGAAAGGGTAACAAAAAAAAAAGCTACACTTTGTATGCAAACTAAAATCAAAAGCACTCCAAGCGCAAAGCATCATTACACTTTAAGGTTATTTAGATTATTGGCTGATGAAAAAAAAGTGAAATATAGGCGGAAAGGGAGAGCGGATAGAAGATGGTAAGGTAAAAAAAAAGTTAAGCGAAGGAGGTGGCGGTGGTTTGTTCTAATATTATTTGTCTCTACTCTTTGCTTCTTCACATTTCTGATAATTATTATGATGATGATGATGATGATGATGATGATGATGATGAAAAAGTTGGGATCAACAATTTTCAAAAATGCATATGGGGTAGAAAAAGAATAAAATTGAATAATAATTTCTATTTTTAATGTTTCCTTACATTTTGTATTTGCAAGTATAAGAGAGAATGAACATTGAATTAACCTAATGAGGGCAAAGACGGAAAGGAAATGGAAAATAACGATAGCTTAGACCTTGCATCTTCATGGAAGAAGAAGAAGAAGAGTACATTAAGTTTCACAATACTATCTTGTAATCGCGGGTAGATGATTTTAGTGTGAAACTTATTCATTCTGCCACAATCACTTACTTGGCAAAAGGCGTGTAAAACAGACCAAAAAAATGAATAGAAATTTTGAAAGGGAGCTCTTTCATTAACAATAAAAAAAAAAAAATTAAACGGGGAGCTTCGTATAAAATTCCACACTCCTTAAATTGGAGGGGCATTGTTTTATTTTAACCATTTTAGAATTTATGATGATATACACATTGGAAAACAAACTCGCGTCAATAACCAACGATATCTCCCTTAAACTTAAATGAACAATCTCTATTAAGATTATATTATTCTCTCCATGTTAGTATTATCTATTCAATTGTTTTTCTTCTTTCTTTCTTTGAACTCGACTCCATCTGGATCAGAATACTACAAGTTCACAAAAATAGGTTGTATTGAATGACCGTTATTCCGCATTATACAAAAAGAAAGAAAAAAAAAAGGACCAAGAGGTAAAAGTTACATTGCATAACGAACATGGCTCAAAAATCACTAAAGTAATATTCCCACCACCACTATCATCATCATCATCACCATCATGAATTTTTTTTCCCAATGATATCATTTCAAGTAAATAATATTTAGCCAGAACGAAAGAAAAGAAAAAAAAAGCAACTTAAACTTAATCTGTGCAACCTAAAATAATGTAAATTATTGAAATAGATGGAAAGAAGGAAGTGAAGGAAGGAAAGTAATAAAAATAAAAATTCCCATCTTCTGTCTACATAATCCTAGAATATGAAATAAAATAAAGTATGGTTTGATTTGTTCTATTATGTAAAAAAGTAACAATGATTATTATCTCGTATTGCTAAATTTATTATCATTCTCTTAATTATTACCACTTTCATTAAGGCAACATTTTCATGGTAGCAAATAATAATAGTTTTCTTTTTAATAAAAAGAAATCATGAACATGAACATACACAACAAAGGGGGGGAATTGAAGAAGGAGTGAAAGGAGTAATGAAATGGTTGAGAGTTTATACAAATCGAGGCATTGTTGATACAGAAGGTAGCTAAGTTGAACTATTGGTTGGTTGGTTGGTTGGTTGGTTCAACAAGAAATAGAAGCCATACCGCAAAATCAATGGGCATTTGTACACTACCATCAAAGGAAAATTCTGAAACACAAGTTGATGATTCTGGAATGTAAAACGATACAAAAAAAATAACCATACATGTAAAACTGAAACGGAAGTATTTTCTTATAGAATTTTAAGTACAGTTTTTGTATTATTTGCTCAAGAAAAAAAAGTAGATGCGTTACAAAGACGCCTATGTGAAATATTTCATGCATTCGGGTACGGTGAATAATTTTTTCATTTCTAAAATTCTATAATTATGAAAGATGGGTGAACTTTCTAATAACTCTCCCCATCTCTTCAATTGTACTATAAATATCCATTGAATTCACCCATCAAATTGTCACTTTCAATTTTCTTTTTTTACATCAACAATCTTAAAGTTTTTTTTTAAATCATTATTAATAGTTGAGATAAACAAAAGCAACTATTTATTGTTTGGTGTTGATAATCTAAAAAAAGGAACTTTGAAAAAAAAAAAATCCACAGTCGCTTATATAATCAACGCGGAAGTTACACGACCAGTTACTATTTTTACTACACTATCACTATTTACTGATACTACAATTTTTGTTTGCCTTCGTCCTCGTGTTTTAGTTTCTACTAAATTTTTTTTTTGATCCTACTTACACGTCCCCCACAAACAAATCCTTTCACACACACTAATTGTACTGTGCCTCCGAGATCGACAAAGACAAAAAAAAGAGGACAACGAATCAGCTTTTTTCTGCTCCACTACAAATAGTCTATCAAATTTCCAAGTTTTAGAATTTTTTTTAATTCACTTCTAATTTTTTACAACAACATTGTTAATTTAGAAGAAAGTCATATAATATCTTTTTTTTAATTGAAATATGGATTCTACTGATATTATGAGAGAAGATTCAGCTTCTACTCCTACCACCACCACTACTACTACTACTACTACCACAAATACATTGGATATTGATCCTGCCACTTTTAAATCTACTTTGCCTCCAAGAAAAAGAGCAAAGACTCAAGAAGAAAAGGAACAAAGAAAAATTGAAAGAATCTTGAGAAATAGAAGAGCAGCTCATGCCTCTAGAGAAAAGAAAAGAAAACATGTTGAATATTTAGAAAACTATGTTTTGAAATTAGAAGAGAACTTGAAAAAGTTGAATAACAACTACAATTCTGTTTTTGATCTATTATCCAACGATCAAAAGTCTTTAGTCACACCAAAATTTGAATCATTAGAAGATGTCACTGATTTGAAAGAAAAGATTCATGCTAACTTGAATGGTTCTAGGAAATCAAACAAGAAGCTGAAAGATTTAGACGATGAAGAGGATTTAGACGACGAACAACAACAACAACAACCACAAGAAGAAGAAGAAGAACAACAACCACAACCAGTTTCTAAAAAGAGAAAACTCGAGTCTACAATCAATACTCCTCCTCCATCATTGTCCTCATTGTCTCCCATGACAACCACCACTACAAATACCTCCCCTTCTTCTCCTGAAATCACATTAAAAAAAGAAAACATACATGATGATATCATGTACATTACCAAACACGAACATCCACAACAACAACAACCACTAGATGATGTCTATAATTTAAAGACAGAAATAGAGGATACCTTCTGGAATTACCCATCCCCAATATCATTTCATGATTCCCCACTACAATTAGATATGGAATCTTCTTCCACTTGTCCAACCACAAACCATTCTATAGCTGATTTAGCAGCAATCAGTCTAGCCAGCAGAGCCAATAGAATCGTTTCAGTTGGACTTTGAAGATTTCTTTTCAATTTTAGGTGACGGTGAAGTCGGTAAAGTCTAATGGCGCTCCAAAGAATTCATGATCAAAAATTCGAATTTTTTGTCGTATGCGACGATTCTTTATCTTTTGTTATTATTATTGTTATTATTACATAAACAAATGAAATATTATTGGGGTTTGATATTCTTATTTTTTTTTTTTCAGCTTTAACCAATTATAGATAGTTGGTGAAGCTAGTATTTAATTAATTTTTGGGTTTTTTTTATAGGTGTCTAATATAAGTTTGAAATTTATAGTATTCTAGATAAAAATTGTTTTGTTTCTTCGTTCTTTTACGTAAGGCATATGAAAATATCCATTGCCTTGTCTCTGTTTTATTGAGACTAGATTCACGTCTGGTTTAAATTTTTTCTTTTTTACAATAAAACCTAAGAAACAAACACCTCTTAAACCAACACGCTATGCCACCACAAGTTACGTTCATTAAACTCACAGATAGATCAACTATACCAATTAAGGTCTTTGTAAAGAAGAACCTCAATGGTAAGACAGTTTCTACTCAAGATAAAAGATCAGTTGCAATTAATTCGAAATCACTAATAACGTTAAATAATCAACCATTTCAAATCCAATTATCCAACGATTATTTAAATTCATTAGTATCAAAACTAAAACCAGAATTATTACCAATTCTAATATACAATGATAATTTAGAATCTCAACTGTTAACAATAGATGATAATATCAAGGTGGTAATATCACTGAAGTTGATATTGACTATTAGAAGAGCATTAGGAATGCTTGATCCTGAACATCCAATGTTTAACAAACTTCCATTTTCAGACAATACTATACGCGTGCTACAAGTTAAAAAAAGATATATTGATAATGAGAAAGTCAATTTCCAATATAAACCAAATAGAATTATAGGATCTTTGAAAGATGCCATTCATGTGTATATTAAATAGAAATGTATTCATCCATTCATGTAAAGCAAAAAAAAAAAATATACGTGGATATTCTCAAGGGCAAAAAAAAAAATCATTATTAAGAAATATCATTTTTATTTTATTTGGATTTGTAAATATCAGTATATCGCTCAACAATTATCTAAACCATGTCTTCAATAATTATTAGATTTAGATCCAAGGATGGGATGTTTCGTGTAAACACAGATATCAGTTCCAATTTTACTTTTGTCTTGGAGGAATTGGTTGGTAAATTGCCAAAGGAAATCAATTTGCAAACATTATATGTTGCTGATAAACCAAATGATAAAGGTAGATCAGCCAACGAATTTGCCGACCAAACAGTTAGTCAATTAGGATTAAAGAATGGTGACATGTTGTATGTTAATTATGAATCTGCAACACAACCAGTTACATCTACATCTACACCTACATCAACAACAGCAACAACAACAGCAAATACAGGCACTGTAAACATTACAAACACATCCGCAAAAAATGTATCAGTTCCAATTCATTCAGTTACAACACATGGACCGTTGAAAGTTGATGAATTACCAATTGATCAAGTATTAGATAAAGATGAAGGATTGATTCCACGCCCATTATCATCGATGTGTAGACATGGAGCTAAGGGGATGTGTGAATATTGTTCTCCATTGCCACCATGGGATGAAAACTATCGTAAAGAACATGCAATTAAACATATTTCATTCCATGCATACTTGAAACAACAAATGGAGAAGTTGAAATCCGGAGGATCATATTTCCCACCATTGGATACCCCTAATTATTCAATCGATTTGACTTGTAATGAAGGTCATAAACCATATCCAAAAGGTATTTGTTCCAAATGTCAACCACCTCCAATTACATTACAAATGCAAAAATTTCGTATGGTTGATCATGTTGAATTTGCTGATTCTTCCATATTAAATGATTTTATTAATATTTGGAGACTTAGCGGAGTACAAAGATTTGGCTATTTATATGGTCATTATGAAAAGAGCGAGAAACTGCCATTAGGTATTAAAGCTGTGGTTGAAACTATTGTCGAACCTCCTCAACATGATGAATTGGATGGTATTACATTGTTAGATTGGGAGGAAGAAAAATTAGTTGATGAATTGGCTGCACAATTTGGTATTTACAAAGTGGGTATTACCTTTACAGATTTGACCGATTCTGGTAACAAAGACGGTACTGTTTTATGCAAAAGACACAAGGATAGTTATTTCTTGACCAATTTAGAAATTATAATGGCAAGTAGATTCCAATTAAAGTACCCAAATGTTTCTAAATATTCAGGTGATGGTAAGTTTTCTTCCAAGTTTGTTACCTGTGTTATATCTGGTGGTTTGAAAGGAGAAATTGAACCAAGATCTTTTCAAGTTTCAAGTAGCGCAGAAGCATTGGTTAAAGCAGATATCATTACTGGATGTACCCAACCATCACAAATATATGTAAATGAGAGTAATGATACAAGATATGTTCCAGATATTCAATATCTGAAGATTAATGAGTATGGATTGGAAGTGAAAAACAATGCCAAACCAACTTTCCCAGGTGAGTTCTTGTTGGTATCATTAACTGATTCATTCCCAGTTGATCCAAAGCCAATGCTCCACACAAATTCTTATATTATTGAGAATAGAGAGTTCTTGGGCGAAGAAATCCAGAGTTTAAAGACATTATCAGATTACTTGAAGCAGAACAATGATCAATTGTTTAATTTCCACTTTATTTTGCATTTGGCAAAGCTGCATATTTTAGGTGATGAGGAAATGAAGTTGCTTATCAAGTATGTAAAGAGTAAACAAATGGAGGATTACTTGAGATTAGTTGAATCCAATGGTTGGATGACTCTTATGACCATCTTAGAACATAGTACATAGGTTGAACAGTCTCAATGTATGATTATTGATCTTTTTGGTTTAAGTTTAAGAGCAATCTTTGGTAGATTTATTTGCAGTAGAACACAATGGAACATTCTAGCATATTCGTCAACTGGCCACGACCTCGAAGAAGAAAATTTTTTTTTTTTTTATTGTCTGTTCTTCTCGTTCATACATTTCGTTGCTTTTAATATTTAAGTGCAGCCAACAAAAGTGAGAAGAAGAAGAAGAAGAAGAGGTAAAAGAGAGAATTTTTCAATTGATTTCTTCTTTTAATCTTTTTCTTCTTTTTTGAATAGTGTATTTTTATAATCACATATAAAAAAAAAATTAACAGTCAATCATGTCAGTTCCATTTGGTGTTGATTTAGGTAACAACAGCACAGTTATTGCTTGTGCCAAAAACAGAGGTATTGATATCGTTGTCAATGAAGTTTCCAACAGAGCCACTCCTTCTTTAGTTGGTTTTGGTCCAAAAAACAGATACTTGGGTGAAGGTGCTAAGAATCAACAAACTTCAAACATCAAAAACACTGTTGATAACTTGAAGAGAATTGTTGGTTTACCAGCCGACCACCCAGATTTCGAAATTGAAAAGGAATATTTCACTATCCCATTAGTTAAAAATGACAAGAACGGAATCTCTGGTAAAGTTAGATACTTGAACAAACAACAAGAATTCAATGCTACTCAATTATTTGCCATGTACTTGAACAAAATCAAGGACACTGCCCTTAAGGAAACCAAAGGTAACATTACTGATATCTGTTTATCTGTTCCAGGATGGTACACTGAAAAACAACGTCGTGCTGCTGCTGATGCTTGTAGAATTGCAGGTTTGAACCCAGTTAGAATTGTTAACGAAGTCACCGCTGCTGCTGTTGGTTACGGTGTTTTCAAAGCTGCTGACTTACCAGAAGATGAATACAAGAAAGTTGCTTTTGTTGATGTTGGTCACTCTTCTTACCAAGTTGCCATCGCTGCCGTTAAGAGAGGTGAATTAAAAATTTTGGGTGCCGCTTACGACAAACACTTTGGTGGTAGAAACTTTGATTTTGCCATTGCTGAACATTTTGCTACTGAATTCAAATCTAAATACAAGATTGACATTCACGAAAATCCAAAGGCTTTCTACAGAGTTTTAACTGCTGCTGAAAAATTGAAGAAAGTTTTGTCTGCCAACACTCAAGCTCCATTCAACATTGAATCTGTTATGAACGATGTTGATGTTTCTTCCTCTTTGACTAGAGAAGAATTGGAAGACTTGGTTAAACCATTGTTATCCAGAATCAATGTTCCAATTGAAAATGCCTTGAAGGATGCTGGTTTGAAACCTGAAGATTTGGACTCCATTGAAGTTATTGGTGGTTCTTCTAGAATTCCAGCTGTTAAAAACAGAATTGCTGAAATCTTTGGTAAACCATTGTCATTTACTTTGAACCAAGATGAAGCCATTGCTAAAGGTAATGCTTATATTTGTGCTTGCCACTCCCCAACTGTTAGAGTTAGACCATTCAAATTCGAAGACTACAACCAATACACTGTTTCTTACTTCTGGGATAAAGAAGAAGAAGATGAAGACCACTTGGAAGTTTTCCCTAAAGGAGGTTTGTTCCCAAGCACCAAGATTATCACCTTGTTCAGAAAAGGTCCATCTTTTGAAATTGAAGCCAGATACACCAAACCAGAAGAATTACCAAAGGGTACTGAAACTTTAATTGGTAAATGGAAGATCAGTGGTGTTGTACCAAGCGAAGGTGAAGCTTCTATTGCCACCAAGATTAAATTGAGAAACGACCCATCTGGTTTCTACACCATCGAAAGTGCTTACACTGTTGAAGAACAAATTGTCAAGGAATTGGTTGAACCAAAAGAAGGTGAAGAAGTTGATGAAGATGCCGAACCAGAATACAGAGAAGTCAAGAAATTGGTTAAGAAGGATGATTTGACTATTGAAAGTGAAAATGCTGCTTTACCAGATGGTGAATTGCAAAAATTCATTGAAGAAGAAGCTTCTATGGTTATGGCTGATAAATTAGTTTTCGACACTGAAGAAAAGAAGAATCAATTGGAAGAATACATTTACGAATTGAGAGGTAAATTGGATGACCAATACAAAGATTTTGCTTCTGATGAAGAAAAAGAAAAATTGAGCAACTTGTTGATGAAGACCGAAGATTGGTTATATGATGAAGGTGAAGACAGTACTAAAGGTAAATACATTGCTAAATACGAAGAATTGGCTTCTATTGGTAACATTATCAGAGGTAGATACTTGGCTAAAGAACAAGAAAAGAAAGAACAATATAGACAAAAACAAGAAGCTGCTCAAGCTGCTGCTATGGCTGAAAAGATGGCTGCTCAAAGAGAAGCCTCTAAAAAAGGTAAAGATTCTGAAGGTGATGTTGAAATGAACTAATAGAGTTGTTGCAATTAAGTAGGGTGAGTAAGCAAGTAAGTAAGAAGAAACCAAGTCAATGTTGATGTTAATAATAACTAATATGTAGATACAAAAGCAATCGAATACATGCTTAGGGTTCTAAGAAAACATTTCGTTGTAACTTATGATCAAAATATCACGTGATCCATAGAAAAGTATGACGTAGACAGTTTGTAAAATGTCAAGCTAATTGAAAAGCTGAGGCTGAAACAACACAAGAAAAAAAATAAAAAATTTAAGGCTCCGACTCTGACTCCGTGGGCCGATAGCGACGGGTTTAATCGGAGAAAATAAAAGAACAGAGAACAGAGAACAGAGAACAGAGAACAAAACAAAGCAGTTCGTGGTGGTACAAGTCAAAAATTTATTTGTTTGTCGGCGGGAGTGTGGACAGCAAACCGGTCCTATTAATGCCAAAAATAAAAAAAAAAAGAGTACGCTGCCATAACACAAATGAACCCAATGATTATTTTTTACTTCTTCTTTTTCTTTCTTATACTTTACTTGCAAATTGATACAAATTGATACAAATTGCCCCCTTTTTGTTTAAAAGAAAAAAATAACACGAGTGTAACCGTTGTAGTTTATTATTATCACTTTGTTTCACTATAGAAGCGGTTATATATCACATTCAATTACTCACAGGATTATCTATTATTATTATTATTATTATTATTGTTGGTTTTTTTATTTCAGTTTGATTGATTTTGTTTCTGGCCGATAGTGACTTTTTTTTTGTTTCCCTTATTTTTTTTTTTTTTAGTTTTGATTTTTTTTTTTCTTTCTTTTTTTTCATTCATTCATTTTTTTTTTCTGTGAATCATTCGAATATCAAAACACATCTTGTAATTTAAAGTATCAGATCTTAACTATACATTCATATGCCAAATACTACATCAAAACTTTCATTGGCTATCCAACAGGCAGACCAACATGCGAATGAATCTTCCAAACATCAAAACCAAAAACCGAACCATACAAATAGTAGGTCTCAGGTTAAACAACCAGTTACACCAGTTAAAAATATGACTTCTGATATAACTCACGATCTTGATTCATATATTGGTTCAGATACATTTAATGAGAACTTCAATCCTCCTTCACTGCTGTTATTACCCAATTTAGTACAGCATAGTACACCTTATGTTTCAACAACACAATCTTCGGCAAAACAATTCAAACCGGAATTATCCGTGTTGACTACTAATAATTATTCTGGTGATGACTTTGAAGAAGAATTAGAACTTAAAGTTAAACATAAATATAATTTCAAGATGAATACACATGGCCACAGAGATATCATCAAAGAAGAAGAGGAATATTCAGATGATGATGATGATGACGACGATGAACCAGAAAATCTAGCCGATGAAGAAGATTTAGAAGATTACGTACCTGGTGGATATCATCCTTGTTATATTGGAGAAAATTATAAAAATGGTAAATATACTTTGGTTAGAAAACTCGGATGGGGTCATTTTTCAACTGTATGGTTAGCCAAAGATAATGATATGAATTGTCACGTGGCCATGAAAGTTGTTAGATCAGCTAAACATTACACTGAGACGGCAATTGATGAAATTAAATTGTTAGATAAGATATCTACATGTGATATAAACCATCCTGGACATAGACATGCTATACAATTATTAGATACATTCACTCACAAGGGACCAAATGGAGTTCATGTTGTCATGGTTTTCGAAGTGTTGGGTGAGAATCTTTTGAGTTTAATTAGAAGGTACAAACACAGAGGAATCCCAATTGTTTTTGTGAAACAGATAGCTAAGCAATTGTTAGCAGCCACTGATTATTTACATCGTAAGTGTGGTATTATTCACACTGATATCAAACCTGAAAATGTATTATTACAAATTGATGATGTGGAACTGATTGTCAAGCTTGTAGAACAGGAAGATCTACAAAGAAAATTACAAAGAAAATTATCACGACAAGCATCCAAGGCATCAACTCCAACAACTTCTACTCCAAATGGTTCATTCACTTCTCCAATAGCCACTACCAGTACAGTAAAACCAATTTCATTAATTTCATCACATTCATCTTCTACACCAAGGGCAAGATCACATAGATCAAAAACAATTATAAGAGAATCATTACCATTGTCGAACAGTTTCACCAGCTCCTTGAATCTCAACCAACAAAACCAACCAGCTATACCCGCACCAGTTGAAGACACATTGAATACTTCCTACTCATCAATGTCCATCTCCAATACTACTAACAATTCAGTATCAAACATTGCTCAGACTTCTACTCCTACACTTGCAACCACGTCAGTTAAAATAGCTGATCTTGGAAATGCGGCATGGTGTGATCATCATTTCACTGACCTGATCCAAACCCGTCAATATAGAGCTCCAGAAATACTTCTTGGATTCACATGGGGTGCGCTGGTTGATATGTGGTCCATTGGATGTTTGATTTTTGAATTGGTCACTGGTGACTATTTGTTTGATCCTCGAGAAGGAGGTTCATTTGGAAGAGACGACGATCATCTTGCCCAAATAATCGAGTTAGTTGGTCCATTTCCTAAATTATATGAAAATGCATCGGAATATTCTAAATTTTTCACGCCAGAAGGTAAAATGAAAAGAATCCAACTGTTGAAACCATGGGATTTAAAGCTGGTGTTGATTGAGAAATATAAAATTGATCCTACTGAAGCTGAATCTCTTTCAAGCTTTTTATTACCAATGTTGGAATTGCTGCCAGAGAAACGTGCTGATGCTGGTGGTTTGTTGAATCATCCGTGGTTAGATTCTGATATATTCGTCGAAAGACCAATGGGTGGATCTGGTGAAGATATCCCAGGTTGGTCTAAAGAAATAACATAGTTTACCTGTAAGTATATATATATATATATATATAATTAAAGAGCATAGTAAATATAATTTATTTGATAAATTCATTCACTTTGATTTATGCTACCATACCTCCTATTCCTCTTCATATTCCTTTGTCGTGTACAAATTTACAATTTTTTTTTTTCGTTGTTCAACGTCTGGCACTCTCACCGATTTTAGTTTTTGTTCGAAAGTAACTCCCGAAATCACCATTTTATCACCTTGGTACTGTGCCTCTTTATATTTTCTACATTCACCAATAATCCACCACCAATGTTACAAATAGAACAAAACAATTTATTAATTGAAAAAACTTTAACTGAAAGATTGAGTCCAGACATTGCATTGAAGTCATTGGACAGAATTGTTTCTGATTTTGATTTCACTACTTTCCATTTACTGACTTTACCAGGAGAGAAACAATTTTTAATGATTTCCATAACTACAAGATGTTGGTCTGATTTAGATAAACATGGAGTTGTTAAATATCTTGAAAGTAAATATTCTCCATTTAGTGAAGTTTTAACTATTTTATCTTCTAATGATGTTGAACCAGGATATAATTATTCATTAGTTTTAGATACTACTAAAGCTAGTCAACAAAGTGAAGAATTCAAATCAAGTTTGATTAATGAATTATCTAATTTGAAAAGAAATGCATTGGCAGCACCTTTTGAACAAGCATTTAATAGATATGATGAATTACTGAAGAAATATGCTAATAGTAATACTTATGCTGAAGAAGTTCAACAAGAATTATACAATGAACCAGTATTTGTTATCAAATATAGAGGTAATGATGAATCAATTTATTTAAAACCATCATTTGATAGAGTTACTGTCATTTTCTCAACTGTTTTCCAAGATGAAACTGATAAGATTTTTGGAAAAGTTTTCTTACAAGAATTTGTGGATGCTAGAAAAAGATCAGTACAAACAGCTCCTCAAGTATTATATTCCCAACTGGAACCACCATTGGATATTCAAAGTGTTGTTCAACTGTCAGGTAAAGATGACAATAAAGGTTATATTACTTTTGTGTTGTTCCCACGTCATTTAACTATAAACAAAAGAGAAAATTGTATTTCTCATATCGAATTATTTAGAAGTTATTTCCATTATCATATTAAATGTTCTAAAGCTTATATGCATTCTAGAATGAGATTTAGAACTAAGGAATATTTGAAGATTTTGAATCGTGCTAAACCAGAGAATTTGGATGATGAAGGTAAAGTAATTGAAAACAGAAAAACCGCCAGTGGTAGAAGATTTGACATTAGAGCATAGATATGTTTTCTTATCTTTTCTTTTCTTTTTTTGTTGAAGAGGCAGGTCGTATCTTTATATATAATAATTTGATTATATTTACATGAATATATATATATGTACAATAAAGAACATATTAGCTTATTGTTTTGGTTTCTTAACACCATACTTGGATCTTGATGAAGCTCTATTGGCAACACCAACCAAATCAAAAGCACCTCTAACTAAATGATATTTCACACCAGGAACATCTTGAACTCTACCACCTCTAACTAAAACAACATGATGCTCTTGTAAATTGTGTCCTTCACCTGGAATTAAAGCACTAACAACATTTCCATTAGTTAATCTAACTCTAGCACATTTTCTCAAAGCAGAATTAGGTTTCTTTGGTTTTAAAATCATAATTCTTAATACAACACCTTTTTTGAATGGATTATTATCTAAATCTGGTGATTTACTAAGTTTCTTTTTAATTGGATCGAAATGAGTACCTTTTTGAATTTGATTTAATGATGAATAACGGAATTGATTTAATATTGGTGAATTAGAAGTAAACACATTTGAATTTATAGATTTCATATATGATGTAATTGGACTAACAATAGGTTTAGCTAATCTAACCCCGCTAAATAGAGATCTTATCATGATTCTTGTGTTGATGATTGCTGTTGTTCGTGGGAGATAATACTTCTAATACTCAATGAACCATATAGAAAATTTTTCTCTTCTTTCCAATTGTTTGCAGAAGACAAAGAGCGAGAAATAGCTAAAAAAAATTGTCCACTAAAAAAACCAATAAAACGAAACTGGGTTAAGTTAAGTTAAGAGAGAGAAGAAAAGAGAAGAAGAAGAAAAAAAAAAGCCAGAAAGAGAGTGAAAGACAGTATCAACATTGAATATTCATCTTATAATCTACCACATCCAATCATGTTTAGAAACACTTTATTAAGAACTTTGAGAACTACTAGACCAGTTGCATCTACTATAATTAGACCATCAACTCTTGCGTTAAGACAACAACAACAACAACAACCAACTCCATTACAATTTCAATTTATCCGTTCATATAGTGATTTTCCAGAATTAACTAGAGAAATAGCTAAAGAAAGAATTATTGAAATATTAGAAGGTTATGATAAAGTAGATGCTTCTAAAGAAATTACTGATTCAAGTTCTTATACTTCTGATTTAGGTTTGGATTCATTAGATGTTGTTGAAGTTATTATGGAATTGGAACATGAATTTAATATTCAAATTCCTGATAATGAAGCTGATAGTTTGAAAACTGTTGGTCAAACTATTGAATATATCTTGGCTCAACCTGATGCTAATTAAAATCAATAATAATAAAAAGATAAATCCCAATAACTTGTCTCTGCAAGTTAAATTGTGTTCTATTGATAATTTGGAAATTTGGATGAATTAATTTCATTAACATAAACAAGTGATTTACAAATTACATATACATATATATCTAAATATCATATTATATTTATTCATAAAATTAAGTAAACAAGAAAACGCTTAACTTGGTTCAATATGTATGTATGGAGGTGAGTTTATCCCCCTCGACCCCCCCATTAAAATGCTATACTTTGTAGAAATGAGGTTGATCACGTGCGCGATTCAAACCAAGCCAATCAAAATCTATGAGAAAAAAATCAACATGCAAAAAAAAAAAAAACCCGAACTTGAAAGAGACAGAGAGAGAAAAAAAAAAAAAAAGAAGGACTTTGTATAGTATCTTTTATATACAACAAACTCAATTATCTATTCACAATGGTTTCAGTATGTTATAAATTTAGTATTCTATGGAATGATTTTGATAAACTTAGGATGATTTACTAACTATGATAAAGTACGTTAAAGGACCAGCTTATAAAGCTTTAGGCCATTTTGGTAAATTAAATGCCCCATTAGTTAGATCTTATATTCCAAACTTGGTCTTCTGGGGTGCTGCTGCCGGTGGTGCTGTTGCTACTTTCACTGAAGGTGTTCCATTATTCCAAAAGACTTTCTATGAAAAAATCCCATACTTTGGTCAACACTGGATTTATAACCCAGATCCAGAAGAAGTTCCAGTATAATCGTATTTTAAATAAAGAGAAAAAGAAAAAAAAGCATTATTACATATTGGGTTAAAATAATGAAAACAAATTCAATTGTGTATTTTAATTTATGGAATATAAACAAGTACATTTTTGTCATTATCATCACGTTTAAGATATTCCGTTTCAATGAGTTTCTCGATGATTACTTTTAATCTAGAAAAATCAACAGATTGTTTCTTTTGTAAAAAGGTGATCGATCGATTCAACAAATCGTGTATATCCAATTGTTTCTCTTGTTTCATTAACTTTACAATACAACTCTTGAATTCTTCGTCTCTATTAGCTTGTATAGTAGCTGCTAATTGTTGCTGCTCTTGATATTCTTCTTGGTTTCTTTGTTGTTGTTGTTGTTGTTCGCCTTTAGAAGTTGTTTCTCTAATCATCGGTAACTTGATACTCTTTGACTTGTCAATGAAATTGTCATTAAAATAATACTTGCCATCTTTTAATAATAAGATTTTATATTTCTCCGTAGTGATTGAATTGAGAAGTTTTAAAAGAAAACCCAAATTGAGACCCGTCAATTCTTCAATTTGATCAATAGTATAACCATTGTTGTCTTCATCAAAAAGCAAAATAACCAGTATTTGCAACAAATTCCCAGTTATTTCCTTCACGCCCTGCTTAAAAGTGGCAGAAATTGTAACCTGGTGTAATTTATAATTTGACCAATCCAATTGTCTCACACTGAAATTAGAATCTATACCATGATATTTCGTCGTCAAGTTATCGAGGAGTGCCTGTAATATATGATGCAATTTGAATTCACTCAAATCCTCATTATTAGGGATATCGGGCCATTCTTTCTTCGTCAATATTAATGGCTCAAATTTAAATGAATCTGATAAAAGTCCATTTGTTTTAGGAATATCAACAAGATTGGAATACTTCGAGGAAGATTTGAGAAAATCATTGAACATAACAGTTAAACTATGTGATTCATCAGTAGGTCCAAGATATTCAATCAATTTGGTCACTAATTTAAATTCATCGCCTTCATTGAATCTTGAACTAAACAACATTCTCTTGGAAACATCTCTTTTATAGATATCCACAAGATCCAGTTTCTCTCCAATTGCTTTTAACACAATTAAGAAGCTTTCTTCAAAACCTTCATATGAGGTGTTTAATTTCTGACGAAAGTAACTATCACAATATTTTGCCAATTGGTATATTATAAATGATTTATAGTTAGACAGGAAATTAACCGATTTCGTCAATGAACTACGTAGCTTAAACCCAATTTGATCATTCATGAAATTCTGTTCAACTATGTTTTCAAAAAACTTAAACTTGCTTACCAAATCATGGATGACAGTGTATCCTGTTGTTTTCTTTTTGAGATGATTACCAATTATATCTTGGAAACTTGATTTGGTATATATTTCCCATTGATAGGCAAATGTGTTCATTGCATTCAAACCATAATCTTCTTCTGTATGTTGACAATATCCATATATAATCAGCAAACTTTTAGGGTTACTAATCAAATAATCGATTGTCTTGGATATCAAGTCATTAAAATTCTCGAAAATCAATACCCAACGAAGCTTGGTAAATAAAATCTTAATAAAGTAATCCCTATCAACTGAGACACTGAAAAATCTTATATTTTCATTCATTGCTTTAAACACCTGTTGAATATAGTTAATTGATGTCTTGTTTCCAACTAACCAGGTTTGGCGTAAAGTTCTATAATGATTAACGACTGATTCAATTACTTCAAGTTCAAACTCCTTAACAAACGAAGTATGGCATTGATACATCAACTTGGTAAATTTAACACCCATGTTATACAAATGATCATCGATGTTCATACCATCCTCTTTGAGTATAATGGATTCTCTCCATTTCAGTAATAAATCATTAAATTGTTCCTTTAAATGGGTGGAGATGTTTGCATCTTCTCCAATTGTATAATCACTGAACATTTTAATGGCAGATTGTAGAAGTGGAATTCTGGTGCTGTGAACAGCCAAGTAATTTGTATCCAAATATATAAACACCTTATTTAATGTCACCACACGTCGGTACCAATTATCAAATAAATCCAAGAATTTCTCACAAAATTCAAGAGGATCCTGGATGGTTTCCAAAAACTCTTCTATTTGAGGTTTGACTCTGGTAGAAAAATCCTCCTGTAGTTTATCATTAATTTGATTTACCAAATGATTTTGTTGAAGATGTTTGGATTTACATAACTTCATAAATTGATTAGAAAGATATGCAATTGAATGTTCTAATGGCAAATCATTCAACACAGCATCGATAGTTGACAATGCAAGTCTATTCAATACTTTGATTTCTTCTGACGAGTCTATATGATGTGTTTCAGATAAAGCTGGATAGTTCAATTTCTTCCTCTTGCTTTCTTGTGGTTCCAAACTATCTTCAACAGAACGATGATATAATCGGGGAGATGGTGTATTTGACGTTAAATGAGACATTGAGCGTTCTGGTGGAGCGGGTGTGGTGGAATTGACGCTAGCAACTGTAGATAGGGTATTACTATTCGTATTGTTTAACTCAAGCATATCTGCTATCACCTCTTGATTATTGTTGCTCCTTGAGTTTGACATGATATATTGATAATGTTATCGATAAATGAGTAGGTACCCAAAAATCGGTGATAAATCAAATGCAAAAGGAAGAAAAAAAAAAACCTTGCAATACGAAAACCATGCAAAAGGAAATTTTTCTTTTGTTTTAAGATAAAACAAACAATTTAAAATTGAAAACCCACCAACAGGATCGATTACACATATACTTACCGATGTCACAGCAATCACGATCAAATAAATCAGAAATCACTGATTCTAAACAACTAATAAATATTTATAAGAAAAAGGGGAAATTTGATAATCAAAGGAAGAAGCTATTAGATAATTTTAAACAATCTCAGACATATACAAATTTACTTCTTAAATTAAAGTTATTAATAGAGGCAAAAGTGAAACAAGACCCATCAATTTTGATGAAAAATAAAGGTAAAATGGCAGCTTTAATTCAAGGTGAAATAACAACCAATGATAATAATGAATTGTTAAGTATAGTTGATAAAGATATTCAGGATAAGATTCTTGATAGTTATGAATTTCATAATTTAATTAAAACTGAACTTATTGATATAAAACAAGAAATTTCTGGTGATAATGATGAAGAACTATCGAATTTGAAGAAACAAGAACAACTTAAGTTAGAGAGGTTAAAATTGGAATCTAAGTTAACAAACTTGAAAGTGATACAACAACATCATGACCTGAATCCAGAGCTGCGTGATGGTAGTTATGGTAAAAACAACAAAATTAACTACAATAATAACATGAAAAGCAACAGCATGAATTCAAATCATAGAATAAACAAACCATCAAGATTCAACTATAGATCTGAGAATAATTCCAACAACAATGCTAGTAGTAGTAGTACTAGCCATAAAGAAGACGAACTGAATAAGAGAAAGAAGAAGGACAAAATTCCGTTTATGATGTATTAAACAGACATTCAAAACATTGAAATTTGTATAGAATTTTTTTTTTTTAAATATATATTTATATATAAAACAATTATCTATTCGTCAAGCTCAAATATATCGTTGGCTATACTCATTAACTCTTCAACCACTTTACTCTTGTAACTTAAATCTTGAGCACTGGTCGATTCGTCATTGAAAATTACTGGACCCCAAATTATAGCAAGCGATTTTGCATTCATACGGTTTTCACTCTCGTGCTCAGCAATCTTGTTCAAATGAAACATCAAAGCTCTCAACGTGAAATATGCACCATCTGGTAATCCAAACACTAATTGATGTAATTTCTTAGCAATAAAGTGTTCATCAGTTGATTTAACTGTTTCGATGAATGATTTTGCTGCGGCATTTGTCACCAAAGGTTCAGGTAAACTTGAAAAGTATAATTTCAATAAACTTGCAACTGTGAATACTTCATTTTCATAAACATTATTTGGATCAATATCTTTTCCAATCATCAAATAGTTTGTAAAGTTGGAATCGATAGCGTCTTTTAACTTGTTAACCTGTCCTTGGTTGCTGCTGATTCTATATATACCAACGAGGTTAATACCATATGATTCAATAATTTCCATACATTTACGAACCACTAATGGAACATTATCGACACCAGCAAATTGTATAACATCTTCAATAGAAACACCAAATGTTGGCTGCAGGAAAGTTGACAACGCCTTTGGACCATTCATCTGTGGAGTTGGTGGTTGACTCGAGCCTGGATCTAAGGAGGAATATTGACCTGGAAGAGGTGGCAAAGGAGTTGCGGTGTTGGATGTTGATGAACTAAACATATCATTATTCTCATTGCTTCTGCTAGTTGCAAGCGTTGAAGACCCAACTGAAGCTGTCCCAAGAGCTGCTCCAACCATGGATCCCGATCCTGATCCATAAGAGACACTTGATTTCTTTGCATGACTTGCTGATGTAGCTGTTGATGATGCTGCAGTGTTGTGGTTGTTGCTATTATTGTTGTTCCATCTATTGGTGGCAGCTGCATTCTTCAAGTTTGTTGGGGTATTAGTAGTGTTCAAGAACGGTTTACCAATATCTTTAGTTTTTACTAAGGAGGGATGGATGGTGTAATCAACAGGTATCAACAGACTGTTTTTCAGTGTCTTTCCATTCGACAACAAATACTGATATAAATCCTTTTCGTTATCAATAGAACTGGCCATTGCCTTCATTGAAGATTTGCTTGATTGCAAAGGACTGATCAAAACACCCGAGTTCATGATCAAATTTTCACACCAAGTTGCATATTTTTGCAATTGCAAATTCAATGCTATATCCAATTCCAAAATCAAGTTCTTCAACTTCTTGGTATTATTTGGTCTGTGAATGACTAAGATTTCATCCTTTAATTTCTTACAGATTTGTACTTTCAGTTTATATTCTTGATCTGCAGTGTCAACTTTTCTTGTTAATTCGTCTTCTTGTTGTTCAATGGTCTTATTCTTTAAACTGAATGATTTCTTATTTGGATCAGATGTTTTCAAACGGTCCAAGTCTTCACACAAATGGTTATATTTAGTCTTTGATTTATCGGCTGCAGAAATAGCATCAATACATTCTTTTTCTTTTCTCTTGTGTTCGTCTTTGATCAACTTTCGTGATCTACTAACAGTACCAATTAATGATGTCATTCGTCGTACATAGTGTTCAAAGCGTACATAAGAGTTCCACACATGAATTGTTTCATCAAATGATGATCTTATCATTTGAAATGCAAAGAATCATGCTTTAAATTTCTTGAGTTATTCTTCATAGTTGTACGGATATTATTAGCAAACTTCTTAAGTTGGTTATAGTGTTCATCTTCAATCTGTGCCTTCTTCTTAATGAATTTACTAAATTCTTCACTGGTCGTCAAACTCTGTTTCAATCGATTCAACAAAACATCAATTGCTCCATCGCTATTTAAAATTTGTTGGATTTTAGAGTCATTTTCTAACAATTTTGAAGATTCTGATTTTGTTGATTCGGGTGGAGGTGGCGGAGGGTCTGTGGATGAGGCAGTGAGACTGCTTGCACTCATTCTTGTTTCAGTCTTAGTCAAAGTTCCGTCTGCCATAGTTGTTGATGGTATTTCGGATTTGCGGTTTGTGGGAGAAGTAAGATTTGTCTGCCACAATATTTGATTTTGATTGTTGTCTTTTGCTTTCAAGTTTAAGGAGAGGGAAAGTTTTTTTTTTTTTATTATTTACTTTTATTTGTTTGTTTGTTCGTTGTGCCTTGTTTTTTTTTTCTCATGTTTTTTTTTTAGCATGTAGTATTTTGTACTATAATTCTCAATAGTTACTGTACTACGCGAGGTGGTATCGTATTACGTCATGGGCGTCATCGTCTAGGGCCATTATTCATTTCATCCCATTTCTACGAACAACTTCTGCTGAAGAAGGGTAATTTTAAAACTGATATCAATTATAATAATGTGGTAGAAAAAAGCACAATCTTCTGGCAATCTCCATTGTTGTCAACATGAACGGCTAAATTAAAAGTCATTGCTGTTTTATGTTTTTTAGTCGCGTGGGGGGTTATACGAAATAAGAACTAAGAACCCTGTGCTTACTTGATTTCATGAGGCGGTTTCGATTTGGTTGGGATTTACTTTAAATTTGAAACGTTAGCAGTTAATAACGAATGAACTATATAATTCGTTATAGTCAATCTTACTTCCATTATTAATAATGTTTCGGATCCACAAATGGCCAACTGCATACACCATTAAAAGTTAGTATCAATGATACCAAGATATAAGAGCTATTGAAGAAGAATGAAAAACCGTAGAAGGAAACTTCAAGATTGAAAGACAAGCAAGATCATCAAATATCAATGACAAATTTATTAACTACATTTTATTTCAAACCCGAGCCTTGATCTTAAAACGAATCAACGAAATCTTGTTGAATGTGATCCAGCTGTATATCGACAAGAAGAACTCTGATTTGAATGGAAAGATCATTGAGTTGCAGCAATTGTCACTCAACAATAACAACACCATCATAGAGCATTTCATGAATTCCAACCCGGCATATTTGAATGCAGTCATTCCCGTACGATTCCCCATCACATGGTTCAACAAGTGTTTGGACTTGGATATACCCCAGAAGGCATACAACCTCGCTGACTTTAAGAGGTCAGTCAAGCCAAGTTTGCAGCTATACTACTTACCGTTTGGGAATTATACGAACTTGAATGAGTTGACAGCATTTTTGTTCAGTATCATGAAGGAGTTTATTGACATCTACAACAAGTTCAACAGTGCGAGTGCGATTATGTACCCGCTTCAGAGTGGTCAGCAGTAATTAGGATTGTGTAAATTCATGTAATATAAATGTAATATTTGTAATTGGTTGGAGGTGGTAGTGGTGGTGGAATAGCAGGATCAGCAAGGTATTGCGTGTGTGGTATTGATCTACAGATCTGATTGCGGATCTGCGGTAGGTTTCAAACTCTCGAGCTAAAGACTCTATGGCTCAATTGGCAGAGCATCGGATTCCAATGACTGGAATTCCCGGTTTGAAAAATCCGAAGGTTACAGGTTCAAGTCCTGTTAGGGTCAATTTTTTTTGCTGCGGAGATGAACATACTGGCAAGTACATCTTGAATTGAAACACTTGTTCTTCTCTGTGGTGTGTTTTTCTTTTTGGTTGTGCTGTTTCCATGAATAGCGAGATATTAAAGGTTATAGTGTTGTTCTATTTTTAGAATACTCATTATCGCGATGCCATTAAAGGCGTTGGTGTAGCAGAACATATACATTATTGTTTGTGACTGACCGGAAGTCCTCTCCCTAATTCAGCGATAAAATCGACCAGAATATACCTCACAATTTTCATTTGTTGCAAGAAATAAGGCAATATACTACTCCTGTTTAATACTTTAAAGGTTTGTTGGAAACCATGAAGAATAGTCATGGTTGTATTGGGCAGTTGTGGTGGTTGTTTTTTTTTTCCCTCTCTTTTACAATTACTATTTGGTTCCAGAATGAAGGCGCCATAGGTACTGGCGCATGTCATGTAAAATAAATTAATTGCATAACGAACTGGGAAAGTTACAACCTCATATTGTGATGAGACATGTTTACTACCTCATTAACTGAATATTAAAAGCTCAGGTTGCCTGTCTCCTTGCTAGGTGGCTAGTATCTGTTTAAACTAATATGAAAAATCCTGAATAACTACTATTATAGTTGTGGCTACGTTTTGGGTTTGTGTTCACAAGTTCACACTTCCATTCTTGTATATGACAAATTTCTGGTTGAAATATCATTGGACAACAACAAAACAAGGAGGATAGTCAGGAGAAGTATAGCTAAACTTCTCTTTGAACCTTATGATAGCATCACGTCAAGTTGTCAAAATAATCTAAACATATTAAACTATAAATACCCCTGAAGAATCCCCTGAAAATCTTCCGTTTATTATCTTTTCTTAACAACAAATATACTATCAACTAATCAATTACTACTATTACAATGTTGAAATTTGCTGTTGTCATCACTGCTTTCTTGTCTTTTTTCTTCCAATCTGCTTTAGCTGCTCCAATCCAAGATGGATACCGTGGTAATGTTACCTTGTACATCAAGTCAGAGAACTCCGAAATCGACGGTCAATTCCTTTACACTGTTGGCAACCATGATGGTTTCAACAGATTATTCATTGGTGACTACATTGATCCAAAGAGCACTTTCTACTTGGTCAAATCTTACATTTACCAACAATTGACTGGTTCTAAGACCGACTATGCTGTCACTTACAACTCTGAAGGTTACTTGGGTGTTGCTGGTGGTTCTGATGGTGTTACCATTACTGACTACAACACTCAAACTGGTAAATTCCAATTCTCCGGTGATCAATTCTTGTACGCTGTCCATGTTGTTGACAATCCAAACGGTTATTCCGCTAGTCAATATGCTATCCAAGTTCACAACCCAAGCACCGCTCCAGAAAACTCATACAAGGTTGAGCTTTATGGTAAATTGAACTGGGCTGTTTTGTAAGCTGATGAACTTCATTGATATTCCTCATTACTATGGCTTTTAAAATTACTATTTGTTAACTTTCTTCTCGTTGCTTATTTTTCATTTCGGTTATTTCGTTACTTTGTTTAGTTTTGTATTATTTTTTAAGTACATTTTTCACATAATACAAATGATATCACTTTACTGCTTTTTTATTTCTCCTTGCTCATCTTTTCGTTTTCTCCACAAAACGTAAACCTTGTTTTTAGGTGCAATGTTGCAGACGTGCGATTTACGCATTAAAGAAAAATTGATCCCATTCTATTTTTAGTATCACGAGACACGAAAGAGAGTTGATTCTACGTGACCACTCTCAACATAGAGGTTTGATGGTGGAAGAATGGAGAAACTTGTTGAGTAAAGAATGACATCGTCAACTTGAGACAGTGGTGTTCCTTCTCCCTATTATATTTGTAACTGAATTTGAAAGGGAGGATTAGACATACATTGTCTCATGCATGTAATTTATTTTCAGGTTGACACAGTGTCCCATTTGAGAATTCAACAGTTTACTATTTTTTCTTGAAATTAATAATTTGTGTATTCCAACTTGTAAACGGTTTGAGCGAGTTGGTTGAGACATGTTTAGTACAGCAAATATCAACCGTGGAGTAATTGGCTCACATTAGCTAGTGACAAGCCAGCTGAAGTTGAGATCTGATTTTAATATTTTAATTGTTGGACCCAACCGCTGATCAGTATACAGTGCTGGCTCATAGAAATTCTACATTCTACAAGCTTTTCCATTTCAAGGGGTAGTTTATAGTTTTTCAGACATTCTACTTTAATACTTTCGACTAATTGCTCCCTTTATGTAATTAATTTAGCATTCTACTATGATACTAAACATTTTTTTTTCTTGAATATTCATCATGAAGTACAACTACATAAGAAGCAATAAATATTTAAGTAACAAAAAAGGTTCTTTCACAACCAATTTGTATCGAAACTAAGGTGAAAGGAGTGCTTTTAATTTAAATGAATTGAATTATAAAACAAATATCAATTGATATTAGAGGACTACTCATTAACCCCTTTCAAAGAAAATAAAAAATGGTATAAATACCCATTGGAAGTTATCTCAATTGGAAGTTCATTTGGATATTTTTATTCAACAGTCAATCAATTATTCAATTGTGAAAGAAACTTACTAAAATAAATCATAATGTGGTCAATTATCTATATTTTCACTTTTTTGTTATCATTAATCAATGCTACTCCAGTTACTCAAGGTACTAGAGCTAATATTTCATTGTACTTGTCTTCAACTGATGAATCAATAGACAATCAACCACTTTATTCTGCTAACCAAGATAATACTATTCATTTCTTGTATGGTGGTGATTCTTCCATTCTGTTTGCTACTACTTTCATGTATGATGGTGTCAACAACAAAGTCTATGGTAGAAAAGAAGGTAGCAGTGACAGATATTATTTGACTTTTGTTGATGATATGTTGAGAACAAAAAAAGGTGATGAAGGTATGAAAGTTACTTTGAACACTGATGGTAGTTTGGATTTTGATGGTAGTGACCGTTTGTTTGCTTACAAATTAGGTGATGGTACTATTAAATACTTGGTTCTTTTGATCAATGGTGAAACTCCATCCAATGTTGTCCCAGTCAAGGTCAAAGCTAAAACTAACTGGGCTACTTTGTAATGGGGTTAGTTATCAATTATTTGTTGCCTTTATTTCTTATCTCGTTGCTTATTTAGATTTTCTTTTTATTTTTTTAAAAATACCAAATCAAAATCACAAAACATAAATAAATAAATAAAATAAATAAATATACATTTTTCTTTTCTTTTCTATTATATTATATTATATTATATCTTCTTAGGATCTAAGAAATGAGTGTCTATAAACTTGGGATTCGTGTATGTAAACCCCGGTGATATTGAAAATATCTTTGTCCAAAGTGCTACCATTCTGTGGTGTGAATGCCATATCGGTAAAATCAGAATCAAAATTCTCTGCCAATATAGGGTCCGTGATGATTGGCAAAATTGGTGGAATGGTTTCGGATTTGTCCAAGTTCTCCAACTCGTTCCAATTGACATGTCGGAAGAATCTATGTTTCTTGAACTTTTCAAAATCATCATCAACATTGAATCTCTTGTCGGGGTTCACCTGTAACAATTTCCTCAAGAGATCTTTGGCATCCAAACTCAAGTAGAATGGGAACTTCAACGTCTTCTTGCTCTGCACAATCTTGTCCATGATTTTCTTGTGGTTATTCCCAGTGAATGGTGGTGACCCTGTTAACAAATCGAATGCCACACACCCCAACGACCACCAGTCTACTGAATAGTCATATGGTTCACCCTTCAACACCTCAGGTGCCATATACTGGGCTGTTCCCGTCATTGAATGGTTCTTCTTGTCGTCATCACTCGACACTTTACTCAACCCAAAATCAGTCAACACCAAATTCCCCTTGCTGTTGAGCATGCAATTCTCTGGCTTCAAGTCTCGGTAGATGACTTTCAAGTTGACATGCAAGTACCTGATGGCCAACGCCATCTGGGCAATATAGTAGCTCGCATTCTTCTCACTCATAAACTTCTCCATGGCCAAATGATGGAACAATTCACCACCGTCGAGGTACTCCAAAATCAAATATAACATGTCATTGTCTTGGAACGCATAGAACAACTTGACAATATTCTGGTGGTTGACAAGTTCCAATATTTGCTTCTCATTCAATGTTCGTTGGTAATTCTTCTCGTGAATCTCGTTGGTATCCTCATTGATGATTAAAGACGCTTTCTTCAACTGTTTCTGGGCAAACAATCGGCCCGTGGATACTTCTCTCACTAACAACACTTTACCGTAGGACCCTTTTCCCAAAACTTTGATCGGTTCAAAGTCCGACAACTTTGGGGTGTGAAATTTGTTGACAGGGGATTTGTTAATGATTAACGAGGATGACACATAGGAGTTTCCAATGTTGACTTCATATGACGAAATAATGCTTGATCTCCTACGTTGTCTGTCTGCAATTTTGATAGGTCTAGCAGACTGCTGGCCGGGATAATAATCTTGTGGATGGAGATGATTATCGTCTTCACCTTCTTCTTCTTCGATTGCCTCGACGATTTTATAGTTTAGTTCCGGATTGGTCAGGGTTGTGAGTTTGGTTTGGATCTGTGAAGCCAATCCAGCGACTTCATCCTCCATATCGAATATATCTGCCATGATTGAAAATAATATATATATATATACTTGAATACTTATTTGCTGGTGGGAAATGTGATGACAGGTGTTGTTAAGTGTTGGATTATTGAATTCTGGTTATTTATCAGTCAGACCATACCGATGTTTATATATATGAAGAGACTCGGAAGAAGAAACATGTTCATTACATTCTCTATGTGTATTTCACATTTGTGCAAACTTGAAACAAAAGGTTTGTGTTTGAAAGCAAAAAAAAAAAAGCTACGCGTCTCATATCTTTCACGTGATGTATATATTCTACAAGTCCGAAAAGAAGTTCAAGAATTAAAGTATGTATTTAAATTGACGCTTTGATATACAATTTATCTTTCATTTGAACGTAGTCTAATAACAAATCATCTTTATCACTACCGAATTCTTTATTGAGAGCGTTTTCTAATGACTTGGATTTTTTGTTGACTGAATCTTTGAGTAAGATTGGTTTTAAATTCTTATTTTTGAAAAATATTAACAACTTGACATTATTGATATTCAAATCTTGTTTTTTACCCATCAATTTAAACAAAACCAAATTGGTCAATTCATTGATATTTCTTAATTTGTCTTTTCTCAATTTAATAGTAATAGAAATAATTTCCTTAGTATCTGGGTCTCTCATAAAAATCCTCAACACTAAAACCTGTTCAGAGTTTGAAGATGATTTAGAAGACGAATGACTTCTTGATAATTTTGATGAGTTTGATTTCTTGGTAGAATTTCGTGTCACGCTGATAGGAGTCGAAGAAACAGGGTCATTATTGGTTTGTTTTGAAGATGAAGGAGATGGGGAATAGTAATGATCTTGTGGTTCTTGTAAACTATGACTACCCATGGCTGTGTTAGGTGTATCATTTGAAAATGTACTCTTTTGATGTGATTCGTTGGTGATAGAAGCTTTTCTGTCTAAAGAAAATCCTGAAAATGAAGTAATGTCTTGAATACCAGTAATTATTTCATCATGGTCCTCTTCATCTTGTTGTTCGCTTTGGTTTGCAGGTATAGTAGTCAATTCTTGTTGTAGTTGTGTTGTTTCAATATCCTTTTCTGGATGACTTTTTGACACTTTTACTCTTGTAACTATGCTCGTTGGAGAAGACATCATGGTGATATTCTCAGGCTCAGTTGTCTCATTTTTTGGTGTGGTTTTCTCAGAAGATGTATTAGTTGTTGGTTTGGCAGAAGAAGATTTTGTAGAAGCCGGTTCTATATTCTTTGGTGATTGTGAATCTTTTGTGGGCAGTTCAAGAACAGATTTTAAAGTAGTGGTTGAAACTGAATTTGGTATTGAAGAAGAAATAATCAGTGAGTTTCTTCTACTTTCATTACTTCCACCGGATGAACTTGAAAATTTTCTTGATAATCTCTTGAATAGTTTGGATGGCGACAGCAATATACTTTCTGAAGTGGAATATCCTCCTTGTTTCAGTAGTGATTTTTTAGAAGGCGGTTGATGGTATTTAAATGGAGATGTGGAACTAGTTGGAGAGTTATTTTCATTCATTGGTGGAGTAGTAGGACGTAACATATGCATAAACTTTCCATTATTTAAAGATGATGGTGGAGTAAATTGCAACTGAGACAGTTCACATGAATGTTTGTCCATCACGTCGTCGTCTTCATCATCCTCTTCTTCACTAGTGGAACTACCCCTTCTTGGATTGGAATCATCTATATCTAACGGAGGAGTCACGTATAGACTTATAGGTCTGTGGGGTTTTGGTTGTTCAACACTGGTTGATTTTGTTAATGAAGTATTTGACATTGTTGCCAGATTGTCTTTGTAAAATTATATAGTATTTCACCCCTTTTGGGTTTTAAATGTTGATACAGAATCAAAAAATTTCTAAAAAAAAAAAAGCGAGACGTGATTCTATTTTCTTGTCAGTTCAGTTACACGTAAAAAGAAAAGTTGGCCCCAACTGTCTAATTATATATGAAAATCAAATGAGTTCCCTCTTCAGTGAATCGAAGGAAATAAATAATTAAAAGAAAGAAATGAGTAAATATAAAAAATACTGTCGATCCTTGTTTATAATAGGGAAGAAATAACAGAACAAGACGATCCAAAAAAACTTATGAAGCAGGAGAAAGGAGGTTTTTTGGAGCAAGTTTTATATGATTTTGGTTTTGGTTATTTTTTTTTTTATTATTTATTTATTTAGTGTTAAGATTTTGGCTCTGTGAAATTTGTATTGTATGCAACTGCACTTAAAATTTGATGATCAAACTAAAATTCAAACAACTTGGAGGAGCGAGAAATGCTACCAAAACTGCAACAACAATACAACAAATGGAGGTACTAGTGGTTGTATTTGATCCAGCCTCGAAACAAAAAGAAAAACTTATCTACAGAATATTATTTCACATTGTATTTAATTAGATTCTAGTTAGTTCTATACCACAAGGTTTGGTTAGTCTTTTATTATTTTTGAAGAATGGTTTTTCTTTTTTTTTTATTATTCTTATTCTTATTGTTAATAAATTTAATTTATAGCAGCGCCTCATATTTTCTATGCATAAATGAATATGAATTATGGACAAGAGCCCAATTTCACTGGTTCATGTTTAGAGTGATGAATCCAATACTCTTCCGAAACCAAAGTAGGGAGAAAAAATTGAATTGCTATAAATTCAAATTAAACGAGTAAGTATCATGAACATGGGATCTGCGTTTTCAATTTACATGTTGGTTTCGTCAAGAAAGCTATGATGATCTTGTTGATATTGATCACTAAGTATAACTCGAAGGTGTTTGTCACAAAAACACGCTCTTTTCTGATTGATTGATCCATTGATTGTACGTCATTGATTAAAAACTTAAATTGTACCGGAATCACGCCATGTAATTAACAATTGATTTCGGTTTGTTCTACATCTTTCTTTCTTTCTTTCTTATTGCTTTTTTGCATTTTACTTAATTGGGTTTGTTCTGCCAGTCTAAAACAGATGTAAAAATTTTAGACTCAAACTTTTAGTTGTTTGCTGCAAGACCTAAAATTCTCAACAATAGCAAACTGTAAAATTGAAATCTACCAATCAAAAAAAAAATTACTTAAAGCCACCGACTCCAAAAAAATCAAAAAACAAAAAAAAAAAAATAAAAAAATAAATAAAAGAAACATAAAGGAAGCAGAGTCACCATGATAATGATATACGGAAGGAGTATGATGAAACAAATCAACAATAATTGATAATTGCTATGGAACTTTTGTCCTATTCAAGTTTCGTAATGAACTCCCACAAAAATATAGTCCAAGTTAGCAAGCCTCACTGAAAGGAGATCGTCGTTAATTTCAAAGCGAAAAGTAGTTTCAAGAATACTGTTTCGTAAGAGAATGCCCAAAGTGTTTCTACGAAATAACACTCAATAAAGTATGAACATCATATGTTTATGATGATGATCACCTCGATGATGAAACTAATGAGTTTTAAGCCGTAGTAAAGTTGTGGAAAATAAAACTCATCAAGGATCTCCATTTATTTCCTCATCAATAAACAATAAAGGATTGAGAAAGAAAAAAAAGGATTTACATCTCCCTTATTCTTTCTTCCTCCTTTTCAAAGTCCACACTTCCGTTGGTATTGATTAACCATCAATCTTTTTGCAAATCATTTGATTTTGATTGCTTTCAAATGTACTTTCAAAAGCACTGTACTATTCTCTAGTTATATTCACTCCTCTTCCAGTTCTTTTTTTTTTTAGTCTTTGGGTTTTCCTGTATATAAACCACCTCCGTATTGAGCTCCTTTCAACTTGGGCAACAATAGCCTGTCATCGCCTTAGTACTCTACAGTGTTGATCGGTTTTGATTTTCTTTGCAACTTTTGATTGTTATTTTCTTTTATCATCAGAGTCTACGAACCTGAAATAACCTCCCTTCGGATTTGCAGGAATGGATCAACTTTGGTATTGTTTATACAGTTCATGTTAATGTTTTTAACAGATTCAATAAAAATTGTTACTGTATTTCCTTCTCTCAAACAGGAATGGCTTTTTCTTTTTTAAGGTTTTTTGTTGATGAAAGGGAGATGACAGAAGTTTACTTTGAGTTTTATTTTGTTCTTGTTGGATATATACACAAACCCACACGCTTTTGAGATACATAATCTTACATACACACGTGTAATCAAACTACTCGGCTTACGAAATGATGTTCCTTTCAACAAAGAAAGAAAAATCGAAATATGGGTTTTTTTTTTTTTAGGAAATAACAAAATAATTATATAAATTATGCACTACTTTTAAGAACTGAACTCATTTGTGGTATATAAGAAATAAAAAAAAAAAAGAATTACACAAGAAACCATCTATATCTAAAAGATCACAGATACGCAAATATAGACACTATCTCATACTGACAACTTAACATCTTGTTCTTGACAAGCTCAACTTGACTTTTAAATTCTCTTTGATGTGTTGTAACAATTCATCGTCATTCAAAGTTTCTTTGCTATCATGAACCAGCAAATTAAAGTGTTTGTATAAACTATAATCATTGTACATTTTGAAGCTAATCAACTTTTTCAAATATTCCAATGATATCAAATTAGATCTCTTAATCTTTAATGCAATTATATCTTGGCTCTTGTTGTTAAGAAAAACTTTAATTTTAATGTATTCTTGACAATTTTTTAATGGTGAACAAACTGAAGATTTTCTTCTTGGTCTGATTTTCAATGGTGATATTTGCGCTTCTGATGAAAACTCAAATTCATCCAATTCACTAATGACGTTATTCAATGCTTTTTCAAATGTCTCTGATTGTATAGTTGTTGGTGTGGTAACAGACGTTGTCAGTGATGTGGTACTCATATGCCTGTCAAATATACTCTCACTAGATTCACTTTGAAATGAATTGGATCTTGGTGAGCTAATTCTAACTTGGGATTGGTGTATTGAATAAGTGGAAGCAATTGATGGACGTGGTGGTTGTGGATGTGATAGAGATATTTCTTCTGGCATGGGGAGTTCAGATTCATCATCTTGTTTGGGATTTTCATCAAATGATGTACCAGCAGTATCAGTACTATATTCTGCAGAATTGGATAAGCTGCTGTTACAACTACTTCTACTTGTATTATTAGTGTGGCTAAGAACTTCTTTATCTTCATCGTCTGTTGTAGCAGGACAACGAGGAGTTGCAGCATTTTGATCTTCAGATCCATTTGTCAATGAGCTATGATTTGAACTACCAGATTCACCATGGGAATGAACATAGTTTCTTGTAGCATTTTGTTGGTTGATATAAGTGGAATATTTAACATATTGATCTGGTAATCTGAAAATTCTACTATTTTTTTCCATTGATAAAGATAATGCTGGACTTGGAGGTGGCAATGGTTCAGTTGTCGAAAATTTCATTGAATTCTGAGTTCTATAGTCTTCAATGACAATTGATGAAGGATAAAGTTGATTGATTAACTCTTCATTTGATACTGTACTTTGAGTTTTGATAACTTGAGGACAATTATGAACAAATTCATATAAATCAGTTGACTCAATAAGAATTTCTGGAATTTCCAACAACTTCTTCATGTACTCTTGTAATTCTTGAGCTAAAGTATACAATTTTTCAATCAACTTTCTGTCAAACTTGGATGATTGTGAATGGTAGTAGCTAGTTCTTAACACTGGGGGAGGTAGTTTTGGAAGTTGACTAAGAAATTTAGGTACCAATTTGCAATGCAATTCATACAAATCATGATATGTTTTACCAACATAAATAAATTGATGATCAACTTTAAATTGTAATTTGTACCAGAAGTTTTTATCCTTTAAATTTTGGAAAACTTGATCAATAACAACATCTTCGATTGATTCAATGGCTGTCTTTTGATGAGCAGCATTCGTGATTTCACGCAACCAACTCAAAGTAATAGGATTCAAAGGATCATTAATGGCAATATCCAAGTATGATGCAGGAACTAAACCTTGAATTGATTTATCTTCTAAATCACAAACTAATATCCAACCATTACCCAATTTTTGTACTAGTTTCAAATATTGATTGTGTTTAACTGACAATTCATTTTCACTTTCAGCATTGAAGTCATATTTACAAACTAATATGACAACATGGTCATTATTATCTATACTTGAAGGAATAACAGGAGATGCAGGATTTGACGATGTTATGATTCTAACATTTCCTGGTTGTTCTAAAGTTAATGGACCTGAAATGGTTAAATTCTTAAGGTTCTTTCTGGATTTCATCTGTTTTGAATTGAACAAACTGGCAGACATGATGGAACTAGAATTGGATTAACTCAATAATTGGACAAAATCTAACCAAATTATTAGAAGGAAACAACAACCAAAAAAAAAAAAAACTTGAAAAATATGGTACAAATATCAAGGAAATATAACAAGAATATTTCAGAAAAACAAAGTTGAAGAAAGTAAGAGATAAAAATAAAATAGTGTGGTTCTGTTTTGTTGATTAACAATTGATTCCTTTCGTCGTTAATTGAAGGCTTGACCTCTTTCTTTTTTTTTTTTCTTTTGTAGCAATATATGAAAGTTGATTAATGTCTATTTTGATTTGTTTTTTTTGTTTTTGTCGAAGTCTTTTTCGTGTTTTTCTTTTACTTATCAGCTCCTTGTTTTAAAATAAAACTCTAACTCAAGGTAATGTACGAATCTGCAAAATTAAAATATTTTTTAAAACAAAAAAATACACGGGAGTTTCTAACTCTGGTTGATATTACTTTTCAAAAGTTCTTGATGGGGCGATTAGCGGAAGCTAAAGGAAAAAAACAAAATTCAAATTATAATAAATGCAATCAAATCAAAAGTTATCAAATCAAAACAACGAATTTACAATAGGGGGAATATAATAATTACTGGATGTTGTTGTGGTTGTGGTTGCAGTTGAAGTTGAAGTAGTAAAGAAATAAAGGGGGTTATTTTTCTAGTATAAAAATAATAATAGTAGTAATACAAAGTAAACCTGGATTCTGATAAGAAGTGAAGTATAACCTACATGTAACTATCAAAAAAGTAACAAAAAAAATGTATATGAACAGTAATTGGAGATTTCAAGAGATATATTTATATTGAAGGGGCATTATGACAACGGGCATACATGAGATATAAATCTTTCGATACTTTTTTTTTTCTCAACCACAAATCTAAAGATTGACATCTAATGCATGCAAAGCGTACAATTTGTAACGTGCGGATATAAAGACTTGACAATTCTTTGTCTCTCCAAATCTGTCCCATTCTCACCGGCACTAATTTTAATGTGTAGAAAGGAATAACAAACAAAACGACATGCAAAGCTGATAAAGATCCTAAGCAAGGAAAATAATACCGCACCTGGTATTCATAACCACCCATCAATCGAACTACAAGGCTGTCAAGTCATATACTGTTATTACTATCAATACCACCGGATTTAATTGCATCATTGATATTTTCTAATAACCAAATATATAAACAAATACATAGAAAAGAAAACCCAATATTTGTTTGTATAATTTCTATTTTTGGATGGGTTTTAATTTTTTTTAGTTTATGGTTTTTAGTTGAAAAAATTTGTTTGTTGTGGTTTTCGGTTTTGTGTATCTAACTTAATTATTGCAAAAAAAAAATTGCACCAAAAAAAATTTTTGCTGTTCATTTTAATACGTCGCACATGATACACATTTACGCACATGCAGTCCCAGTTTGTTTTTTGTTTTTTTAGTTCAAATTAAATCTGGCACACATGCAAATTTTATTCTAACTGAGATTGTTATTGCTCCCAAACAATTTTAAACACTAGCAGTTAGACCAAAAAAAAGAGACTAACATAAACAATTGTGTTGGATGTTGGGAATATCATAATTAACAGATTGATTACGCTCTTTTAAAGCATGCAGTTACTGACAAACAAAACGAGATATCAAAACAATATAAACCAAGAAAAAACAAAAGAGGATTCATTCATTCTGGAAAGTAATTTCATGTCAATATAATGGCTCATAATAGGTCTAGAATATTGATTAGTACTGTTATATACCAGCACCTACTCCAAAATTTACCCGCTGATATACTTTGGTTGAAGCATATGTCATGTATACGCAAAGTTTTAAATCAAATACCTCTATTAATGATGCCTATTTCATATTTAGTTCAGTTACATTGCATAAAATGGCTGGACTCATTTTTGGACAAATAGATATCCAGGAAGTTTATCTGTACGATAGAGTAACCAAATCCGATTATTCATTCGAGCTCTACTCCTACTCTAAAAGCAAAAAAATAGGAAAGTGAAAACAATAAAATCTTGATTATTTTTGTAACTCGTATTACTTTCTCGAGTATAGACAATACAACTATTGATTACAGTAAAATCAAGTTTCTGTAATATCTCTGCCCATCATACAGTTTGATAACTTAATACCTTCTTTCCCATCTATTAAAATTGTCTTTCTTTCCTGTTTTCCTGCTAATAAGTATGTGATTAAATTACTCCACTTTTCTCCTCTCAATTCTGGAGTTCATCCACAAAATAATGTATCGTAGTTTGGTTTCTTAATATGCGATAAATTGTTTAACAAAAACGAATCTATTCATTCTGATGTTAGTACTGAAAACAGGAAAAACCAAAAAACCAAAAAAAAAAATAAAAAATAAAAAAAAATATAATAAAATAAAAAGTTTGGTTAATCGGAGAGGATCTGTGGAGAACAACTGTTTCCAGCTAATAAATTGATTCAAAAACGTTTTTAACCCTGTAACCGTAATAATATAAACATTAAAAGTTCTTTGAATAATATTTCCAACATGAATTATGCGGACACGTTTCAAGAAGGAATTTAGTCAGGAGTTCATTTGATTATCGTATAGAAAATCACTTTCCAGTCGATGCTCATCATCTAAATGCTGATCATTAATCATGTTCAATGAGCTAAGAATGATGGGCAATCTAAGCCTAAATCCAAGGACAAAGTTGTTCACAAAGATTTACAACTTTTACAAAAAAATTAATTAACAAGATACAATTGCCGTTCCTATTAATATTATTAATATTATCAATGTTTCCATTGTATTTTTGGAAAATTAATCCTACTATTTGTTAATAACCCCCCATCCTCGACCATCTCTTCAACTATACATGAATATTTTCATAATCGAGTGTTTTGATAAATCGGGTTGAATTTCTTTTTTTAATGGCTTACTCTACAGTTGATCGTTTTATAATCGTACGGTCAAAATCATTCATTCTGTGTCTGCCAATCAAAATCCCATTAAAAAGAAGAAGCAAAGAATCCAATTATTATTGAACACTTGTGGCTCAAACTTTTTTATAAACAAATTTTGTAAATCTTTAATGAACTAAAAAAGCGTATTAAAAAAAAAATTATAACGCCATCATGTGATTCCTTAAAGAAAATGATTTTCCTTTGTATCTCTTTTGTTCGCCTTGTATTGCATATAGAAACAACAACATTGTGAAGGGAAACTAAAAAAAAAAATCAGTCGTGCACTTTGAGACAATTTTCTCTTAGTAAGGTTTGAATTATAGGGAAAAGCTTCAATAATCACTATTCTTGAAAAGGTCAATTACTAAACATTCTTGGGGATGGGTTAAATAAAGAGTATACTATTCGATTAATAGAACAATATGGGGAATCCCTCCACTTGAAGTATTTCTCAACAACTATATATGAATTATGTGACTTCAGATTTTATTTTCATAATTCAAATGATTTTTTTTTTAGTCAAATTTTGCAACCAGTTTACAACAAATTATCTACGAATTTTTTTTTTTTAGTTTTCAATAATTATTAATACAAACAAATAATACACAATCACTAAATCATAACATATACAATCGTAAAGCACATTCATGTTATTTTCAAATAGACTTTATCATTAAATCTCAAAAATTCAATAATGTTGAAATTTACAATGTCAATATTTTCAAAATTGTTAAGATTGGGTAATTTAATAAATAAACTCTTGTAATTAATCTTTAATCTGATCAAATTCTTTAAATCCTGGACACACTTAATTTGTGATTTATCTAATTTAAGAGCCACAATATCTCCATTAGTTTCAACAATCTTACATTTAATAAACTGATGTTTGTTTTGGTTAGTGGTGTTGCTGCCAGGTTGACAAGGAATGCTTGGAAAAGATGGTTGATATTGTGATAAAGGAGACAGTTTCGGAGAATTCGAGCTGATATTAGGAGAACTAAATTTAGATACTGGTTTAATTCTAGGAGAAAAACCTGGTTTAGGACTATAATTGAGTTTTGGAGAGGACATTGTTGTATTGATCAATTTAGGGGAATTCAATTGTGGCAATGGTGGAGTTGGAGTTGATTGAATAATTGGATAATTAGGAATAGTTATCCTTTGTTTTGATAAAGGTGGAGATCCTAAAATATAGTTTGGATCAGAAGAAGATGTTCTGTTTTGAACATCAAGTATTGGTGATGATGACGATGAGGTAGGAGAAGATTCATTGGTGGTGTTTCCGTTGCCTGTATTGTTATTACTACCAATTAAACTGTTATGAGCAGTTGTAGGATTACTTGATGATCTAGCAGAAGAAACAGACCCTTTTCGGATCGAAGTAGAATGTGACAACGCATGAGCAGCCTGCTGATAGTGGTTGTAGATGTTTTTTGATTTAGTTCTCTCTGGCAATTTCTCCTGTTTGAATTCATCAAATTCCTTTTGTTTTTCCAATTGCTCTTGTTCTTCTAGCTTTTCTCGATAATTTTTAATCACATTAATAGATCCAGGCAAAATCTTTTCATTTATCTCACTATTGCTTAAATCCTCAATTTCAGAAATATCTTGCACTGTGAAACCGGGAAGATCTTTCAATTCCAACCAATCAATCAATTCCAGTGAAGTTTGGTAGTATTTATTCAACATTAATTTGTTGATATAAACATTCAAATCATTACATCTTTTCAATAACATAGCAATCAACTCTCCTTCCTCTTTACTCTTTGTGGTAGGTATTGGTTCAGGTAATTTAGGCAACTTCAAGTTTTTGATATCGATATCGGATTTACTTGCAATTCTATCCATCAAATCCAACAACAGAATATGTAAATTGTAAAAATCTTGATAATATCGACAGATGTATGATTTGGATTTGTCTGAATATTCAATATCTAATCGATACCAGTATCTTTCATTATATAATAAGAAATTCGAAATGGAAGCTTGTATAGGATAAGGTTTGTTATTTATAGTCATAAACTTGGCTTCAACTTTGTTAAATTGCAAGTCCAAATAACTCAATTCATCCACAATATTTTTATCATTACTTTGGATGCATTGTAACCAATTTAATGTGATTGGATTAAGAGGATCATTAACAGCAATATCCACGTATGTAGCTGGGATCAATCCTGGTGATTGGACTCTGTCAATAAACTTTACTAAAAGCCACCCATTATTTAATCGATCTAATAATTTCAAAATATCGCCTTTTTTAACAGATAATTCATTTTCGCTTTCTGCCGTGAAGGGATATTTAGTGACCAATATTACATTACATTTCAAGTCAGTTGACACTTCGTCTTTAGTTTTTGGTTGTGAAATAGTCAATGAACGAATAGGTAAATTGTCAAGAATCGCTGTTGATGAGCCTGGAGATTGATTTATCTTTGACATTGTAGGTATAATATACTGGTAAATACAATTTGGATGATAATGAGTATACCTTATAGGTGAAATGAACGTCTAGCAAATTGTAGTTGTTGTGATCAAAGTTAAGGGTGTATGAACTTAATATTGGTGATAATCAAAACAAATCAAAACAAAACAATTCGAAATAAAATAAATTACAACAAATAAACAAAAAAAAAAGGAAAAAAAAAAAAAAAAATTCTCTTGATGAATTGTCGCGCGGATTAGTTGATAATTGAAATACACAAAATTGTACTATATAACTAGACCTCTTTTATATTTTGTGAAATTGAAAAATTCGATATGGTTATGAAATAAATCAACAACTACAGGACGAAGAAAAAGAAGAAAAAACAACAACAAAGCTTGAAGACCAACACGCAAGTGAATATATCATTCAAAGATGTATAATCGTTGTTGTGGTTACATTTGTTTCTTTTTGGTTAAAAAGAAGAGATGAAATTATTGCATTATGTGAATTATCACCGCCAATCTTTGGTTTTTATTAGAAAAAAAAAAAAAAAAAAAAAAAAAAAAACCAGGGCACGACAGTAACAACAACAACAACAACAACAACAAAAACTAAATTAATTTAAATTTAGGGGATAGTTTGATGTTGGAATGTATTCGCTAAGGGTTTTTCTTTTTTTTTCTACTTTACTTAACTTTAACTATTTTTTCCATCGACTTATTTACTGATTCTAGTATCGTACTATTAATTTAGAATATTCTGGGGGAAAGAAGCCAAATATTTCTTATTCTGGTTAAAAATGAACTCAACTTGTTTCAGTTTATACTTTTATTTATCTTCAACCCTTTATTTGAATTTCCAAACTATGTCGTGTCTATTGGTCAAAGATTTTTTTTTTTTTCGTTCATGAAAACTGGCCACTAAAACGCGTAACCTGTTTTAGGAAGGTGCGTTACCTGAAATTGACAATTTGCTTTGATTTTGGAAATATGAACCAAATTTATTTAGAATAATCAATACGTTATCTCTTTATCTACAAAACTATAGTCAAAAGATCTAAATCTACACATCCAACTAAAACTTGAAATCAATGATTAGATTACAGATACGTTCGATAACTAAAACCCAATTGAAGTAGAATGAGATTTCCCACCATTCAGTCCATGATTCATATGTAATGGTTATAAAATCAAAAGCATACAATGGAATTCAAATAAAGTAAAAATTGGAAAAATACCAAGAATACATAGGGAAAGGTTATTATAACTTTCAATATTAATCATAATTGCATGGTAATAATATTCTAAAAAGAAGTAATTAGAATGTTAGATTATATATATGAGTGTGAGTGTGTTCTTTATTTCAAAGGAAGGTTTGTATTATGTATTTGATCCCTGAATAGGAATATACTAATCAAAAAAAAGAATCATCATGATTATTATATACTTGAAATATCTATAAACAAAAGTTTATAATTTATGTTATTCATAAACTTTAATATTGAGATGATTCTTATTTAATAAAAATCCCATGATTTTCTTTTCTACAAGAATGTATCCATCAAGCGAACCAATTCATTTAATTGTAAATATTAAATATATAAATACTAATGATTTGGATTTAAAGATGGAAATTTTAAATTATATCAATCTCCTTCCAGCCATTTGTGCTTAACTAAATAGATGCAAATTAGTCTTGCTGGTACTCCGGAAGTGAAAATATGTATTGAAGAAAGAAAAAGAAGAAAGAAAGAAACAATGATGTATGAAAAAAAATTTTTTTTTTTGGTTTCAAAAAGTCTTGGTGATACCTCATCTCTCTCTCTTTCATTGTGTCGTGTATGTATGCCCAAAAATGATTTAATGGGGGTTTAGGAATATACTTCAAAACTGAAGCTAATTTAAGATAAACTCGACAAATAACTATAAATGGACACAAGATAATTTGATTGGGTCATTATACGGTCGATAAAGAAAAAGGAATAGTATGATTAGCCCAAATTGGACAAACAAATAGAGAGGCAGAAAGGAGAAATTTTAAGAAAAAAAAAACAACCCTGATTAAACACATAGTGAATGTTATATATTTGACACCCCCCCAATATGAGCCATAATAATTTAGCCAACATTCTCGTAGTTTGGATTGATTTAAGTCATCATACTGAAACTACATCATCATTCCAGGCACTATTACGCATCTAGAACCATACAAATAGACTTTAAAATAAATAAAAAAAAAAAACCAAGAATGATGATCATAGAAAAATAAATCCCCTGAGTTGGAATAGAGCAACGATATCTCCTTTGTTAATATTTTACAATTCATCACCGCCCTGATCAACACATACCCAAACGCATTTATTTTTCTGCGCTGTGTGGGTCTGTTCCACTTATACATAACATTTTCGGCTAAATTTCTTTAATATGAACTTGCATTGTGTATTCAATTGAGCCTAGGTTTCAACAAAACATTTAAACCACAAATGAAGTTATGTTAATGCCATTTAAGAAATATTACTTAGGGCATATATAGAGTTTTTGTTTTTTTTGCACAAGTAACCTTTAAAAGAGGAATATTTTAAGAAATGAAAAAAACAAACAAACAAACAAACCATAATTTGACTTACCCCCACAAACGATACTGATATTATATTCCTCTCTGTTTTCAATTTTCAAAATAAAATTTGTTGCTATCTAGTGGTTGGAAATTTCAATTCGAAATATTTCATTATTTACGAACACCCTGAATTCAAGAAAGTAATAAATGAGGTGATCAAGTTTTATGTCCATTGTAGATGCATGTATTTCTTTCAATCTTATACTTAAGGTTATACCGCCATTAAGATTTTGCTGGCTGTTGTTTACGATATTAATAAGCTATTGGAGTTAGAAAATGTAGGTTAAAGACTAATGACACATTAACTTACGAAGTTTTGTCTATGTGTATTTTTAACTTATTTTAACCAAGGATATATAAATGTCGTAATGAAAAAAAGCCCACAGATGCATTAGTTGTGAATTATTTTGTATATATTAATGACTAGGTTATTTACATTTTAAAATTCGGAAAAACTTGTCAAATTCTGTGCACCTGCTTTGACGATCATTCAATTATATGATGCGGTGTTTTCTTTTGGACCGGCAATGAATAATAAAACAAGGGGGATTGTCCGATGGATAATGTACATCTTTGATTATAATGTTCTAACCGCCCATCATCATCGCAAAATCTTCTACAGAGAGAGAGAATGAGAAAGGTTATTAATAACTTTGGATATTATAAGAGAAGTTTTTAATAAAAACAACACCACTTTTCTATTCAGTAATAGTAAAACAATAATCTATCAAAATGAAAAATAAAAAATTCTTCATTACTCTTTTGTGATTTATAACACACACACACATACAGAGTCTCTATGTCCCATGTACATTTACTTGAATAGTAGTTAAATTTAAACTAATGCATAGCGTAACTGCTTTTGACAATTAATTATAAGAAAGTTTTGTGCTTCGTAAGTATACTCTCCTATTCTCATACACATATTGTTCATCCCACAATTAAGGAAAGAAATAGAGAAGCAAAAAACAAAAAATACTTGAGTGTATCACAACAGAGCATCAATTAACACACACGCATAATCAGATTAGTGATAATAGGGGAGAAAGAAAGAGAGAGAGAGAAAAGAATTGAAAACAATAAAACGGCAATTTGTAGAGCAATCAAAATGAAAAGACAACAATTGCGGGACCTGACAAAAGTAGATTGTCCTAACTCGACAAAGAAATATAATGGACTTATATCTGTGGTTGATAATACACATATAATGGCGCAAGATTTTTAAATGAAATGCCGTATGAATATCCAGCATCGCATAATGAAAAACTAGATAAGATAAGATTGATCAATATTACCTTCTCCGCGGAGTTCAAGTTGAAAAGCTATCCCAAGGTTTTAAGCCTCCATTATTTTTCATCCTTTTATTTATTGTAGTTTTTTAATTTTAATTTTTTTTTTGTATTAGGATTTTGAGTTTGCGTTTTATGCCTATTGTAGGAAAAAATATTAAAAAAAAGCTCATCGTAGTCAATGAAAAATAGAAATTAATGCATATTTTGTATTACAACACAAAAATTATTACTGAACTCAGTAACGGTTGTGATGTTGGTTTGCTTCTTTCTCAATTTCCCCTCTAGTTTATTCTTTGTGTTGTAAGTCAGGACAAAAGTGATATAGTGATGGTGACAAGAGAGTGGAGGTTAATGACGTAAAGAATTCCTCTTTTTTTTTCATCATTCATTTCTTTGTTAAATTCCGGAAAAACTTTGGTTTTTGTTATTTTATTCTTTTAACAAAATCAAGATTTCATGCAGACATTTTTTTTTTATAATTTTTTTATTTTTGTCAATACGTATTACAACACTAAATAGAAAACCAAGTATGTTAGCCAAAACATTCCTTATATTTAAAGTCAAAAAGAAAAAAAAGGGGGGAGTATGTCTAAAATTAAAATTAGACAATAGGAAATTAGCAATAATAAGAAAATCATGCCACTAGAGTATATGACAAGAGAGATTTCTATTATTTTCAGTGACTTAAAGATAAGTCGCAAAATTATCATTTGTGACAATGTCTCATTTTTTTATGACACTCCAATTTATAGGACAAAAGTGAAAAACTTGAAAAAAAAAAAAAAAAGAAATTGAACTAAAAACCGTTTTCGTTCCTTGCCCCTGGATTAAGCAATAAAAAATAAATTAGGTAAAAAAAAGAATTTAAAGTATATTTGATCTAAGTAGTAATTAACAACCGGTATCTGAGTTCTCCATGACAACGCAAAATGACAAGACATGAAAGATCTAAAGAAAGATGTTGCGAATCTTGTCAGGGATAGAACAACACAATTGAAAATCAAAGCAAAAACAAAAAAGAAACACATAATAAAATCATAAAGTCAGTCTTTCTTTCTTGGATTGAGAATACTTTTGATAATGCGATTTCGATAATCTTTTTTTTT